TAGAAACGTCGCCCTTGTATTGATGTACATCCTCTAGAAAAGTGTAGTATTTTGTAATATATCATTACTAAGAACTGAAATATCAAGTAGCAAAGTAGGACTCTTCTCCATTTCAATCCCATCAGTGTATTTTGATTACACCTATCATAGAGTAAGGAATACTCGATCTCCTCATCTCAAATCACATTATAATGTAAAATTGCACAGAGAGTTCAGGATGAATATAAGAGGTAACGATTACGCATTACAGATTTGAAAGAAAAGGGGCGTACGGGGTGTTGTGGTCTAGTTGATAAGTAACCAGACTGCCTTGGTGCAGAGTTCGAGTCCCTACCACTTACCTAACTAATCATTTTGACAAGACAATGAATAACTAATTTTTTTCAATACTGGGCCAGGGAGTAAATAGGATTATTCCTTAAAATTATAGCGCATGGGGACAAACAGCATTGTATTACCCCCCCCCCCCCTACACAAAAATATAATGATAATAATAATACAAATAATGATGATGATAATAATAGTAATAACATAAATAAATAAATGAAAGAATTAACAAATAAAATAATATTAATAAATAAATAAATACATCTCTCTCCCTCTGTGTGTGTCCCTCTCTCTCTCTCTCTTTCTCTTTCTCGCTCTCTCTCTCTCTCTCTCTCTCTCTCTCTCTCTCTCTCTCTCTCTCTCTCTCTCTCTCTCAATCCCTCTATCTTTCTCCTGGGTTCACCATTGCTTATTCCATCTAGCATCTTATACTGGTTAGTAGAGCAGGGTTAGGTCGAATCAGGAAGTTGGATTCCCTTAAGTAGAAGGTGATGCTCCAATCATTAACCTCTTCATGCATTTCAATTACGATCAATGCTTAACAGATTGACGAGGATTGGAGCAGTGTACTATATTACCAGCAGGAGTGGAAGCTAATATCGAGGTGTCGCTTCCTGTTTGTCTCGCTCCAGTCCAATGAAATTGAAATTTCCTCAAAAGAGGAGGTTGGTAATGTTTTTTTCTGAGTGATTTTCCCCCTCATCGTGATACGATTCCGGATCGTAACGGCGGATGCGTTTTTAATGGATGTTCTTGAATCACGTCAATGGCTTTCGGCGCCAACACTATATTTTCCATCATCATCAACCCTTTTTTAACCAGAAACATTAATGTGTATATTGGCAACAAAAAGAAGATGGAGAGAGGGGAGATAAAAATAAAGAGAAGAAGAAGTGTGTGTTTTTAAAATGGATGAGGTTGAAAGGGGGATGGGAGGGGTGGAAGCCACGAAACATTTATCATGTTCATGGCCCAGATGCAATTTGCTTTGGCATGGCTTTGACTACAGTCACGCACGCTAGTTGAATCAATACTCGTTCAACAACTAGATGAGGAGAGGAAATAGCAGTCGGAATGGGGGAAAGATACGAGAGGAAACGGAAAAAATCGAGAGTGTATAACAGGGAAATGGGACAGGAAATGTTTGTACTTTTTGTGAAGAGAAAGATGCAGAGAAAATCAATAAAAGAGAAGACTGCAGAACTGTCAAACTTACATTTAGATTTCTCTTGAGAAGACAAAATGTAAATTTATTTCGACTATTATGAACAGCAATGTAAAGAAATGATAATATGTACGATACGAATTGAGCGTACTCTATTGGTGAGCATTGATACGATATTGTTCGCTCTTATATACGTATTGTTTAAGGTTAGGCATCACATGAGGGTATTTATGTAGCCTCTGAACCTGTAATTTAATATCTCATTCTAAACGGAGTAAAAGTCATTATCACTCTCTACCATGTTTACCAAACATGCTACAAAACAGTTTGAGATTTATTAGGTATCCATGCTTTGATCGTTAGCCTATAGTGTCATGTACATGATGTAAGAAGTGTACACCAGTAAAAGAGAATCTGTTGGTATATATGGGCAGGATACTAATGATAGATGTCAATAATAATGATATTCCTTATACACAGTTTCGTTCCGTTATGTGTAAACATCGATAGATCTATAGATATTTCACCAAGAAAATGCAAATATAAAAACCGGACCAAATGTACTAAAATGTAGCAAAAATGGAAAATATAGCAACCAAAGGATGATTGAAAATATTGCAAAAAAGCTTCATGCATAGTATGTGGTCTATGAAAAAAAAGGTTATTAAAGTTATAGACTAAATTCTTTCTACAAAGGTTAATGTGATAATCCCTATGTTAATGTTACGTAATGTGCTTGACTTTTAAAGCTAATCGCGAATGATATCTTCCAAAATTAACACCATCTGTGCCACTAGGATTTCAAACGTAAAGGAATATGATTTATCGTTTATTGTTAGTATAGGCCTATTTGTATGGGAACAACCTTCTTAAAGGATATAATCTACTTCAGGTTTAGAGAAAAGCGAATTGCATTTTTTTCATTCGAACGTACGTATTTAATCTTTTTAATTAACCTAAATTATTCCAAGGCGGGATTTTCCACCTATAGCATGCAAGATGATAATTGTCTATTTTCGTCTTGTTCTTTACTAGGTATCGATACGTTGAACATTGTATGCTGTTTCGATAAAGTGAACATGTGACTCTATTGTGACGTTGTAGAAGCCTCTCGATTTCCCAAGACTAGCATAAATGATACCACCAGAATTGTATGAAGAAGTCATAAAACAGGAATTAAAAAAAAAACCTTTCACTCCTCATACGGCCTTCGCAATGCATGTCCCCATTTTCTTTTGATACTAGTTAAAATGCAGATGAGCAATTTACCTTACTGCAAGATACACCATAGTCTGACTATTACAGGACGAATTGATAGATAGTTTAATGACAAATATAACAAGTAGAGATGATGAAACAACATTACCTCGTGTCTGCTCTATTTTCATTCCCCTAAAGAAGAATAATGTTGAAGTAGGAATTGATTGGAAGAAGCATGATAGGCGAGGCCAAAGATCACTATGGTGTACAAGGTGTTGCTACTCATTATATCACTGCTTGCGTCTAACCATTTCCATCTTTTCTAATGAGCAGCCTTGTCAGTTGCTGCTGATGTTGCACGTTATTACGCTGGTTAACTGGATGAGAAGCCCGACCCCGGACAATTACCCCCCCCCCTCCCCCCCCCCCCCCAAAAAAAAAATTCTGCTTTTATCAAAATCAAGTTATTATCAGAGTGGACTACAATTTATTCAATGAACAGGAGGTGGGGGTAATTTTCCGGGGGGAATAATAAGTCTTAGGGAGTCATTTTTAGGGGTGGGGATAATTTTGGTGGGGGTGGTTTTCCTGATTCGAACATATCTTATCATCTGTTCTTCCATTAAAGTGTAAAGCGGTTAAACACGTAGTATTCATCGCAATTAAATGTGAATATTATTTGTTATTATTATCATTATTATTCTTATTATCTCATTGATGTCATTATTATCGTTACCATTATTACTATTGTGTTTTCATCCCCCCCCCCTCTCTTTCCACTGATTTTCAGTTATCTATCTCATAATCAAGATCCTACCATACCACTGTGTACTTCCCTCGCCTTCTTACTTCCAACCGTATCAATAGAACATCATTAGTGACCACTCTAAAGCCTTTTTTTTTATCAAGTAACCATGCCAACACCGGCGGGGTAGGAAAAGTGATGATTATCCTAATTATTTTCTTTTTGTTTGCAGTTGAAGGACATTTTCATCCAGTGGTCATTTGGCATGAAATTATTGTTTGATATGTCCACTATCCAATAGGAACTGAGGATAGGGATTTTTGGCAAAGGAAAACCCGACCAGGCGTGGTAATACAGTCATCGAGATCGAATATAACGCATGTATTAATTACTTTCCTCTGTGGTCAACGCTTTTTTAAAAGTATATATATATATATATATATATATATATATATATATAAATCATTTCCATTCTAGTTCTCTCCCTCTTATCTGTCTCCCCCCCCCTCTCTCTCTCTCTCTCTCTCTCTCTTTCTCTCTCTCTCTCTCTCTGTCTCTGTCTCTCTCTCTCTCTCTCTCTCTCTCTCTATGTATATTTCTATCTCTATGTCGCTTTCTTATCTCTCCTTCATTCCTCTCAAGTTATTCGTATTTAGTTAAAAATTAGATACCATTAAATCACATTTCTGGTTCCCTGAAAGTATGGTGATGTTGTCTTGTTGTTTTTTCCTTTAACCATAATATATCCATGATATTTCCAAGAAGTGAGAACAATTTTAATATATATTACTAATTAAAGAAAAATGATTTATGTTTCTCGTCTATACCGCCAACGTGTGGAGTAAATTGATGAAATTCTGACGTGATGTGCAGCTCGTGTGATTTATTTTAGAAATTGAACATGGCTATAAAGAAAAGGCATCATCTAGCAGATGACTCGTACTTTCTCTAGAATCGTGCAGAGGAGAACGATTACGAGAACATAATTTCATCACCAAATTATTGTCATGCGTCATGCTAACTATGAGGATCGTGATCGAAACGATTATTAGAGATCAGTTCAGAGCTTATAAGAAGAAGCCAAACAAAATTAATGGGGGGTAGGGATTACTGATTTCTGGGGAAAAAATAGGGTTACCCTTGAAACATGTTGGTAAAAGGTTAAGAGTGAAAAGGTGGGATTTCGTATCTGATATTTCTGAATTCAATCTTAAACGTGGGAAACACCGCAAAATTATTTGAAGATTTTATCTACAGTCTTATTCCGCCTACGTATTTTGTAGCCTGCCTTATCCTGCCTTGTACATATATACCCCTCCCATCCCCCTTCTCTTTATCTCCCTCTCTCCCTCTCTATCCCTCTAACTATCTCTGTCTTTCCACTGACATTATATATGCACACAATATCTGTTAAATGACATTAGAGTGTATTTGTCACACGATACAGCAATCCATAAATATTTATACATTTCATATCAAGTGTAAAATAAAACATTTGTCCTACACATTTTAACTCATTTCATTTGTATTTACACTGTTATTATTTTCATTTTATCTTTGCAGGCGTCTATCTTGATCGAGTTACATGGCTTACAATCGAAGTAAAAACGTTTACCGCGCCACTGATGGTACAAGCATGAAATCATCTAACAACAATCCGGAGAGGAAACAGAAATGGTACGACGATGTACGAACACAGGGCGATCATAACGTGAAGTATCTGAGCAAGATCAAGGACATGAAACAACAACTCCAGAAAGATGGACAGTCTACGACGCCCTCTGTTGGTCGAGGTGGTGGTGATCATAGTCGTCATAGGACGCATCCAGTGACTCGTCCGAGTCTTACCCGTCATCTCTCTCTTAATCTACCAGTATTCGTCACCAATGCAGACTTATCAACCGTCCCTCGTGCAGGACGGCTATCTATGTATTCTAAGGCCAACAGACCAGTACCTGCTATACACCCAGTCCAAGGAATCGGCCTGCTAGAAGATTCTTCTACAAGGAAAGGAACGAAACGTACTGATTATTACTCAAAACGGCACAACTCACTTACGTCAATTGATAAATTTTCCCCAGACATGGACAAAGGACATCAACCACCCACACTTAAACGCTTTGCTCGCTCTCAAAAACCAACTCCATTATCCACCCGTGTTCACAAGGCCTCGTCAGATTCCAGAGATGACCATTGCATGCACCTGAGATCGTACAATGTGGCGTGTTCACACTCACAACATCTTGGTCGGCTTCGATCACGATCAACATGTAGTGAGAATGATTCCGGTGCCCAAACAAGGAGTATCAAACAGGCATTTGGTCGCCATAGCACAGATAAAGCAGACAACCGTGGTGCTACGACCAAAACAAAATCAGCAGTCAAATATAAGCCAAGCCTATCGAGTTCTCATGATAAAACTCGAAGGGTAAGTCAGGCACCAGCCCTTGACAAACGATCCGTCAATGTCGATGTACCGTATGGAGGGGTAGACTACTACAACCCAGACTCTACTGGGTACAAAGCCCCTGTCTGCACTCCACACACAGTCGTGTCTGAGAAATCAGACCTAGGGTGTCCCTACTGCCAAAGCAGTGACAGTGGCGTGTCTGTCAACAAAGGAAGCGTTTCCTCTGCTTCAAGTTCTAAATGCCAGGACACGAGTGACTCCGATGATTGGTCCGACATTGGTGTGACTCTATCCCAAATACGACTGAGTCATTCACAGTCAGAACCTTCTATCAAGGACATGGCCAACACCATGACGGTAACCAGTGACATCGACGCTGATGTAGAATTTCAACAGAATCGCTCAAACTCATCGACGACTGGGTCGTCCGATGATACGATACCCGTCGTCCAGATCAACTCGAAGTCGGAAAGCGAGAATGAAAAGCAGATGGAGAACATGGTGACAATCAGCGCACCTTTCATTATGTTCCGCCCGGCCACACCCCGCATGCCGGAGAGAGAAGAGAAGACGTTTGATCATGAAGTTGGTCGGGTCCTTGTCAAAGCTGCTTCACAGGCTGAGCTACGACGGAAAGAGATGCAACGACTTGTCGAAGATATTGAAGAGTTCAATTCGGCGAATAAGAATCTTTATCGAAAGGTCAAGCCAATCAGCGGATAATTAAAGATTCAATCGGGTTGAGTCTGTATTAGTTATTATGCGACAAAGTAAAATTTATACGGTACATGTAGTATACACTTGTAAGATATTCCCGCCAAATTGTCTGTTGTATGTTGACGAATATGTTGATCATTTTGTCCATACGTCCATATTGTATCATTCAAGCAAGTATCAGCGTTGCATGTGCTTTGATATCCAGCTCATTTCAAATCACCTCTGATTGAATTTATTCCTCGCAAACATTTCGTTATAACTTGTTTATTCAAACAAGATACGGTTTCCAAGATTCCTTACCAAGCTCCCGAGGCAAATTGATGACATCCCGGTCCACGTGACAGTCATGTTGACTCTATTCAATTGAAATGCAGGTCTCTGTAATGATATGCAGTATGCCGTCAGGGAAAGGTTTGGAGCAATGAATACTTACAGATTTCAATGTAGTACTCAGCCCAGGAAACCTGTGGAACTAGAACATTGTATTCAAGGGTTATGATTACATCAATGTCATCAATGCATTAATATCAGAGATAGATAGATGGAGAGAGAAAGAGAAGGATAAAGAAAGAGAAAGAAAGAGAGGGATGAAGAGACAGACTTTATAAAGCTTTTCAAAACTGTCTTTGTATGGGTCTTTTTAGACAACGACTGCAAGATGGGGAAATAATTTAGATCAAATTAGTCTTAAGTGCCATAAAGCTCTTACAGTACTCTTTATCAATCGTCATGTAAACATTTTCTTAATATAAATATACACATGAATTTATGTTTCCCATCTCACAATCATTCAAAATATAAATCTGTGTATTTTCAATCAAAATGAGCAATGTATAAACAGAGATATGATATCTTCATGAAAGAAAATTAGAGCTTAAATAAAACTTTTCTTTCCCTCCCCTCTTCTCTCTCTCTCTCTCTCTATCTATATATATATCTCTCTCTCTATTCTCTCACCCTTTCTCTCTTCCTCAGTATAACTACATGTATTATCATAATGTATTGGCACGACGTTACATTATATCATGTTATTACAGATTTGTAGTCAATGTCACAACTTTTGTCATAATATGTTCTCATATTTAGCACGATTTTCTGACAATCTGTTCTGTTACATTGGATATACATTGTACTTTGTATAGTCGTCATTGATGTGTACTTGTACCATACTTGGATCTCACTTTTATAAGGTAATTAGAGTATCAGACGAATGTACATCTTAAAGATGTTACTTCTTCCTTCTGCCCGATAAAAATTATATTTGATTTCAACAATTTCGAATTCAAAAAACATTTCTATAAAAGCATTTTAAAAAAGTTTCGTTTTTCAAAGAAAAACGTATGTTAGGATCTTCAGCGGTAATGGGTTTACTAGAAATCTCTTTTTTTCCAAGGTCTGTCGATGATCGGTTGACTTCTATTATCTATAGATTTATATGTTGAGGACAGAATAGGTCGGTCTTTTCTCTTCAGCCTGAAAGTATATCATTCTTCTTTACATACACTGTTTTTCTTCGGGAATTCAGGGTTGTTGTTTTTTCCATTACAGAAATTCATGTTCACATTATTACCTGTGCAGTGTATGTTCTAATGTGACGTGTCTCATCATAAAAATCATTTGGTAATGTTAACATGGTAACATTTTAAGTTGTAAAATCAAGTAAATGTTATCAAATCCGCATTCACCATTTTGTTTCCGATGTTACAAATCACAACCTTAAGCAAACAAGATGTGCACCATGTATGTTTGTGTTCGCAAGGTGTTTGTATAGTTAGCAATCCAAAGGTAGATTATTATGGTTAAATCCATGTCAGCTGGAAATCACGATGTAAATATATGTCACTACGAGCAAACTAATATCAGTATATTTCATCAGGTAGGAATATCATGAATGTTGAGGAGTTCAGCTGTGAGTAATGATTGTAAGCTAATTATGTCTGTAATTGGTGGTGATTAATGTTGTGATGATAAAAATGTTTCCTTGTAATAAACCATTTGGTTATCTTGTTAAAGATATAGTTAAGTTTTGCATAGGGAGATAAACATAAGTGCAATATAAATGTGATTTTAAAACAAAACAATCATTAGATAATATTTACCATTGTATTTTTTATTATGTAAAGTCATAATTGTTTCTGCTTTTCTTGCCTTAACTCACTCCGTGGCTATGTTGGCCTACAGATTAGTATTATCGGGATTTCACATTGATTTTGAACGTTTTTTACGGAATAGAAGTTTCGACCAAATTTGCCGATAATTTTGTGACGACAATCAGCCGACAAACCAATCAAGAGATAGATTAGGATTTCCATGTATACTTTGTTCCAACACGAATAAAACAGATGTTATCATTATGCCGAAGTCAAAAGAACATAAGCACATAGAAACCAATGTGTCGCAGTAAAAAAAAAAGAATTCTAGTGACTCCTCTGATTATTATAATGCTTCGTTTGACATATAAAAAACCTTTCAAGACTACTTTGTTAAGAGTATACAAATCGACCCAATAATCACATTTTATCAATAAGTATGGATAACTATAGCGTCTTAAATTAATGTATTGGTGAAACGTTTGGATTTGAACTGGTATTTTTGTACAAGATTATTGTCGGTTTAACTCGTTAACCGAGAAGGGAGATGTATATGTAACTATTTATTGTTAGCTATTTTATGTCACATACATATATCTATTTATGTGTGTCAAACATTTCATTTTGACCGAGAATAAAAGAAATAATCTAAACTAAAATCCCGAGTGATGTTTGCTTCATTCTGTTTGAACCAGTCCATATTATTATGGACGTTGTTCACGGCTAAAATCACGTTCATGGTGTTTCGAACCATACATAATAGTTCCGCACTCTTGAACTTGCAGTTCTATCAATAATACCAACAGCAGTACTACTAATAACATTATTATTTATGTCATTATTATTACCATTTCAATATATGATGATATAACGGTAAATAATTCACAAAATGATCCGTAACGTAACCCTCTTTATAGAAAAAGGTACATTGATTTTGGATCCACTTTGCCACACTAACTATTTCTCTTTGTTCTAAGTCAAACACTCAGACATGGCATATTCGAAGAGGCTATACAAGTAGTTCCAATATATAAAGTCTCTTTCAAACTTGATTTGTCAACTATGCAATATGTGCAATTTACTGCACGTCTATGAATAATTATGCATTTATATAAATAATTAATTAGTTTACTCGTTTCCCAGTTATCCCCTGATCTCACATCTCTCTGCACGCATATACCTCTTATATTCATGTTGTTAATGAAACAACCACGTTCTTCAGTGGGTCTTTGTTTCCATAGCAACCGCTTCAGGCTTGATACGTGTGATACCCTAAAAGTCGATCAGACACAAATGTTATTTCCCTCGCCCGTTCTCTCTCTCTCTCTCTCTCTCTCTCTCTCTCTCTCTCTCTCTCTCAAATACATGAGGAGGACATATCATTTGTCTTTCTTCATGACATGCAATCAAGTATCTTCCCGACATGCTTCAAGCTATTACGAAGGAGATGTGAAATAATTGTTTTGCAAAACCTCTGGGTGCTATCAATAATAGACCCGTGCTTCCCAAAGCTCCATGCCACCGCCAATGATAAATTATGAGTGATCTATTTCGATTGAGCACGTACGTGTTGTGTGTAATTAGATTGGCAAGACCTTACTATAGGGATGAATGTTGTGACAAATGCTCTAAAATTGATCACAGAAAATACAATAAAATAAGATACCGGAACTACAGTAGTCAATGTCCCCAAGCAGTGCCATGATGGGTTTTCATAAGGATGTAAATGGACTTTGAAAAGAAAGAGGCATATACTCAAGAAGAATAAGCCAAATGGTTTATCAAGTAAAACGTAGAAGTGCGGAATTCTAGAGGCAAAGTTTTACCAATTTGATACACTCCCAATGAGATAATACGTGATATGCCTTCCGCAATCGGGGTCTTTCTTGTGCTTTATATATACTATGTACAGTACTACCACCACCACCACCTCATCAATCACCACCATCACTATCATCACCACCATCACCATCACCATTATCACCACCAGTCCACCACCACCACCACCACCACCTCCACCACATGTCATCATCACCGTAAACACAATGATTATGCCTACTAACCTCATCACCCCCTCCCCTATTATCACAATCATTGTTATCATCAATAACACCATAATCAAAATCACCCTCATCGTCACCATATTTAATTCTATACCATCACCACCACCACTTACTTGCCCAACGTCTTCTTCGTCTTCATCGTCGCAACCATAACCACTATCAACAAATCACCATCATCTTAAGATACCCTCTTGGAGCGTTTTTGTTTTCCTTCTTCTCAATTCCTACGACAATTGAATTTAATATTTAGACGACATTTTAAATGCAAGCATCACAAGTCATGAACTCGAATCTCATCAATAACCAGGGCCTGTATTATTATAATCTACTTTGATACAATCAAACATGAAACCGTTTTGTATTTCAAATCCTGCTATAAATAATTGTATCTTACCATGTATTGTATCTATCCTTAAAATAAAATTAATCGTAATTAGCTATCGATAGTAAAGTTAATGTTGATTTGAAGGAGATACGGTTAATTATTATCAATATATTGTTATTATTATATGATTCAGTGATTGCAACAAATTTGAAAAAATGGGTTACTTAAAAGATATTACGACGTTGTAAGATAAGGGAAAACTAAGGGAGTAAAATACATATTCACGGACTTTGAAGAATATAACATTTGTATACCTGAGGGTAACAAAAGTATGCATGAGCGCTCGTTCGAGAACAAATATTATCCTGCTGAATTTCCCACTTTCAGGGAATTGTGAACCTCATGGATAAAAAAACCATAGAACATCACAGCTAATAAATTTAGTCAATTTCCTAGGGATACGATATCCATGAAACAATATTCCCAGGTTATTTTCTCTTCACTTAACTTACATTTCTAGAGAGATTGTAGAAAGAGCAGGCAAAAAACGTGACTCTTAAAAAAGAATTGTCCAGACTCACACCAAACCATAATAAATTTACTCCGAGGCATGAGCAAACTTGAATATTGTTCTTTCACGCGCCACACTTTCCTCTCAAAATGATTAATTTTGTGAATTTGTTTATGCCCGTTTTCATCTAGGTGTCTTCAAATCATCGAATTTGTCATGGAAACCAACCTGGTAAGTTCAGTCGAGCAGAGAGAACATCTCAAGGTACAATGGGTGAAGACGAGAGGAAGAATGGGAAGCGACAGTGTAGAAAATAGCGATAGAAAAGGGGATAACGTGTAGATAAAAAGAAGAAAGGGAGAGAAGGGGTGACAGGGAAAGTGAACGATAGATAGAAGGGGAATGGGAGAGAGCGAGATGGAGAGAGAGCGAAAGAAAGGAGAAAGAGACACACAGAGTGAGAGAAACAGAGGAAGGTAAGAAAGAGAGAGTGAAAGAGAGAGAGGGAGAGGTAGATAGAGAGAGGGGAGGGAGAGAGAGAGGGGAGGGAGGGAGAGAGAGACATGAATAGGCTGATAAGCAACTAATGTAATTTGTTGTCACTTGACATTTAAAGTTATCTGTTAGATGAACATGGCGGGTGTATTGACATTTAAGAGTATTCCTCTGTGGTTGAATTGAATTGTGGGGTGTTTTCGAGAGGGAATAACGCGACAGTAGAACAATGATTTTGTGTGTAAAACAGGCATCTTGCTTTCAAAGTCCCTAAACATTATTTGTCTTTTGTTGTTGCTAATAAATATTACTTTATGATAAAGAAATTATACAGTTAGTGTAGACTGTATGTTAATTGACATATATTCTACAGTAATATTTTGTATTTTTATTTCATCAATATAAAAGTCCTACTTTATTATTACTGAAGCATAAACTTTTCATAACAAACATTCATTTCAATTTTGTTTTTTTCAGTTTCTTAATTTTAATGTATATGACACTGAATACAAATTCCAAACTATTAGAATTGCCCAACAGTTTTATTTCACACAAAAGGCAACAATCCAGGTCAGTAAAAGACCAATTATTTACAAAACATGTTGACATATAAAAATTCATATTAAAACTTGTTAATTACTTAAAAAGGTATCAAAATAACATCCAAAATTACAATTCATATAATGATGCATGGCAAATTGCTGTAAAATCAGATAAAAATACAGTAATTACTCAAATGTTAAAAATTAAAGGTGAGAAAAAAATACATTTGATGTGTAGGAATACTGTTGGGTACATGCCATTACATTTTGGTACATCTCTTAGATGGTAACCTTCATAATCACCTCGTATTTGAATTTTAAAAGGGACTCCTTTGAGCCTCTGAAATTAACTAAAATCATCTAAATCTCCACACTAAATTGTTATATACGCACTGAAGGTAAATGTTTAGAAGTCCCCACCCAGTCCCTAAATACATGTTCCAAATGCTGGTAGTGTGGTAGGGAAGTATCAAATTCATCACAATAATTAATCATACAAATTCATAGAATTACCAGAGACTTCCAAAATGATATTTCACTAGAACCATTCTGAAGACTTCTAAATCAAACTTCTTAATCCAGGGATAAAAACATGCTATTATTGCAATCATTTCCATTCACATATCAGTCATTTCCACTACAAAACATGTTGAAATACCTCATTCCATCTTAGATTTTTCGACAATTTTGAAGACATCAGATCTACTTCTTCTGCAGTGTAATCATTGTTATATCAGTTCAAAATGGATTTTAAGATTTGACCATGCTAACCATGTATGTTATTATTGCAACACTTGTATTTTACTGTGCTAGGTCTACCAATTCAATACAAACAATTAAAACTATTATTGCCAAGCTGGGACAAAATACCTTGATAGATAGATGGATAGGAACTGACACTCCTACTAGAATAAATATATAATTACATCACCATTGTCTATTGCTAGGTATCCACTTGGTACATTAGTATTTAAAAAAAAAATGAACAATGTTAGTTTGAGGAAGAACAAAATATTTTGACAATCAGAAATCTTTCACATTCAGAATCCCCAACAACCCAAGAAGAGGAATCATAGAGTAGAACCTCATAGCTAAGAGTACTGATATAACAACTTTTAAATATAACAAAGTAATTTTCCTGTCCCACATTTTTTTATTTCAATTTTTTTTAATTTCAATTATTATTTTTGTTTGACCCTCATATAAAAAACAATTCAAAATAAAAACATAAAATTCATTTCCTAGAGCAGTTGTTATAACAAGGATCCTCTCAATTGATTAAAGTCTAAAACTGTGACCAAGAGCACTTCATGCCCTGATCATTAATTGCATGTGTAATAAAACCATTGTTACAGTATCTAATAGATCATGAGAAACACTTGAACCTTCTCTACATCAGGGATTCCTCGAGGTTCCTTGAAGTGAAACTAAGTTACATTAAACCAATTTTATACAAATGTGCACATATATTACTAGCACAGACAACAGCTGCTTTTCACCTCTGGGTAAAGCACTGTAAAAGCGATTTTGTTTTGCTGTCAAGAAATGGGTCAGTTAAACTTTCAGAGAAAAATATTTTTAGGCCGAATAAGATAGGAATTGATTATTCTATATTATTATCATTCTCTTATTTGGGGAGGGGGAGGGCTTAAATTTCAATACATAAATCAGTAAATGCGATATGAGGTGCTACAAATTGGGAATGTGACATAAGGGGTACATAATCATGGCTATTTTTTTCTACCTCAATTAAAAAATGGAAGTATAAAACAAACATGTTAAACCATTTAAAAATGTATTTGCACAATATATTTTCACTTACAATATTATAAAATATGCATAAGGGAACAAAATTTTATGAACACATGAGAAGGGATAACCATGGCCCCATTGTAGAAAAAAATTCTCTGATGGTAACTTTGCCATCAATATTAACTACCGTGGCAACATCACTCAACTGGCAATCAAATCAAGGTTTCCATGGAATTTACCATTAATGGCAAAGTTACCACCAATGGTAAGTCTTATGCAACGGGCCCATGAGTTTTCTGGTTCATTTATTTCACCAACATTAAGCCTGGGTTCAATGGTACAATGATGACTGAACTCCATTCACTATTTTAATATTGTTCTATCTACAAAATCCTGTGCAATTCTATTTAAAATAATATATAGCTAAAAATTATAAAAATATAAAGAATACAATGACAATGGAATTAAAAAATAAAAATAAATTAACAAAATCGCAGATAGCACTTAATGTGTATTATCTATAATCATCAGGAGTTTTAAGCTTGACATCATAATTTCTTGCCCTTCTTGTCCTTGTTGCTAGGCAATCCAGCTTCCAAGATGGCTGACATTAGGGTCTTATCTTGAAGAGCAAATTCAACCTCTTTCTCATTCATCTTCATGCACATCTAGAAGAAAAATATCAAAAACAAAACAAATAGATTACACATTCATCAACAAAATGATATTTCACATTTTGGGATTATTTGTGTCCATTTGAGAATATTCTAACATTTTAGTTCTTCATTTTTGACAGTGCACTGTTAATCATTTCAATAAACTATTTTTTTTTTTTTTAATTGACAAACATTACTGTAAGAAATTCAAACATGTCATACTTCATGCCAATTTCCTACACAGTTTAACATTGTCAAGAAAAGATTTCATAGCATAGAAGACCTTCACAATGTTTCCTACACGTGGCTGACCCTTTAAATCAATCAACAGCAAAGTGAGAAAACCTCAGTAATATGGGCAAACTAGCAGACAACATCCAACAATAGAGGACACTCTTTACGTCTTCGGATGGAAGCAAGTCAATTGTTCCACATCCTCACTGAGTAGTGATGCTATGGGCAGTGATGGATATTTATTACTCAAGTATTCACATGTATATGCTACATGCAAAGTTTGAAGGATGATCATGATACCCAAAAGTAGCATTAATGACATGAACAAATGCCTCAAACAGCCGACAATAATTGGTTGAGAATATTACTTTCCATGCCTAAAGTTTAATTTAAACTGCATTATGGAGTCTTTATGGTTTCATACTAAACATGTGTTCCAACATGGTATCCAACAATCGACGTCTAAAAAACTAACTGCTTTAACCCTATTTTAACCAGCCTATTTCATCAAAATTCAAGCAAATTTGTAAAAATAAGTAAAATTTATAGGCAATCTGATAGGATCTGCATCTCCAGGTGAAACAGCATAATAGAAAAAAGGTTGAGCAGAAGAGGGTAAAAGAGTGACCTACTTTAATCTGTCTTGCATCCTTGGATTTCTTGAGAGCAAGGACCCCTCTCGTCTCGATCAGCTGGCATAGAGACAGGAACTCTGATTGGTCAACGGGTGCAACCTTACGACTAGCACAGATCTTGCAGTATGTGTCATGGACCTATAGAGAGTAAAATAGTTTACTTTAAATTAGGCTGACAGATTAACTGATGTTTGATTACATAGGCACAAAAAGAAATAAAGTACATGCACTTCCAACGAGGGGAAAGCAATTAAATAAATAGTCATGCATAAACAATAATTTGAAGTTTATGAGCAGGTTTTGGATTTAAATAAATACCCCCCCCCCCTTCCCCCTTACAAAAATGGTTTTCAGGCAAAATTTTAATTCAGCAATGAACATCTTTTGACAGTTTTCATTATTCAGTACTTTATACATGGAAGAATACCAGTTAAGGAATTCATGAACAACCCAAAATGAAGACATGTTCATCAATTATAAGGCGACCAAAGTGTAGAGGAAATACTTCTAGGTATTACACAAATCTAAACCACCTGTTGTCTATAGATAAAGCCAAACATAGATTTAAAGATTTTTGGGTCGGTCGCAAAGGGCAATACGACATCTTTTTTTTTTAGGCCTTATGGCAACCATCTATGCATACACCATCTATTCCATCTCTATATCCTTACTGATGAACTATGAAATACAAAACAAATTCATTAATATTTCATGTAAAAAGTACTGGTAAAGTATAAATATAAACCAACCTTTCCCAAAGTGACCTCTCGACTCTTGCCTTCTTTGACCATCAGAAGAACTGTACAAATGACCAGCTTCTGTTGCATTGGAAAGCTTTGACCTTTGCCCCCTGCTGAGGTCATGACCCCTGACCCGTAGACCTCATTGATAACGTTGGATACCTGGAGGAGGGAGACCTTCTTCAGGGGTTTGGACGGAGAACCTTTCTTGGGTGATTTCCTGGGAGAGGATTTGATGGGTGATAGTAGGGCCTTCCTTGGGGAACCTGAAATGGAAGGAGACTACTTGTCAATCATCATTCTCAGCATTTAGGATGAATTAAATGCTGCAGACACTTAGTTAGTCCTAGCATTGACCTGCTGTATACAATGAGATTATGGCACATTTTACATGGACTCTAGCCAGGATTATATCTCTGGCTTAAGTGTTCAACAGGTTAAGCACCTGTGCATGGTGAAAACTATCATGACCTAAGAACATTGCACATGTGATTCCACTAAAGTATGTTGCAAAGTTTGGATGTTTCACAGTATTTCTAGAGTTTGTTCAAACTTACCTCCTGATGGTTTCAATACTGACTGCCTTCTGACGTCTGCTTGAACAATCTCAACTGCTCTCCTGATTGATAAAATAAACAAGAAAATTAGTTAAAATGTTAGTACATACAAGGTCAACAAATTCATTCCAAATACATATTATAGTGGCGACACATCTTACTGGTAACTGGAATACAAGGTACTTTAAGAGTACCCGATTTTAAAACTTGTATGACCAAAATTTGTTTGTGTCTGCATACACTAAGATCCACTTGTAATAAGATAATAATAATAATACACAATATTTATTAGGCACTTAATACAGGTGTCTCTAAGCGCACTATAGTCTGACTAAAAAATTATGTACCAAAACTTATAATAAACACACAACTTATACATCTGTTCTTTATTCAATAAATCATGCATATATAATAATAAAAATAAGAGTGAGATCAAACATACATAAGGTCAAACATAGGATCAAACATGAGATCGAAGAAACAAGAAAAAAGACGGTGTGCACCTCCTTTGACCGACTCACAACTGCAGAATAGCATTCATGAATTAAAAAGGTGTATTTTCAACAAGGACTTAAATTGGTCAAGAGAATGAAATATTATGATGACAATGTCTTGTTTATAAATTGTCTTTAGTCCGACCTACCTGCAAACATCGAGGGCTTTCCTGACGTCTCCTGCTACTGCTGCTACTTTCCTTGCACACAGCTGAACAGCCATGGGATCAACTACAGCAGTCCCATCAACAGTGCTCTGAGAAATGAGAATAATAATAATAATAATAATAATAATCTTTTAAAATCCACTCCAAATATTATTAAGTTAAACCGAAAATGGAAATTCTTTTTGCCCAATTGATCGTGAGCCTGGCAGCCACTGAGCAGCACCAGATCGACGTTGCTCTATCCCTTATTGTTGAACGCCAAACAAGGTAGCAGCAACTCCCGTCTTTTAACGTCTTTTGGTATGACACGGCCGGGGTTCGAACCCACGACCTCCCGGTTGTGAGGCGGACGCTCTACTGACTGAGCCAACACATGGGTATGAAAGTTTGACCAAGATTAACCCATTGCAGGAGATCGAATAAACCTTGAACATGTGAATAATCAGTCATACTATCTAAGACTGATTCATTGAAGGAAAACAAATCAAATATTATTGAGGATTAAATTGTTTGTTACAGAAGTTTCTACATGGCAACGTATCCCATGAAATCCAACTATTTCGCATCAATGGATCTTTTTTAGGATGTGAACTGCCCGAAAGCTCAAAAGAAATGACACTCATCCTGAAGACGATAGGTACAACCCGTGGTACAACCTATTGAAACGTTGATCATGAGTGGTCCTTATCAGAGCCACCTCATCACTCTCACATCTATCTTTACCATGGAAGCCTTCAACCATTACAAGAAAGTACTGGTTTCTGTATAATGGGATATACTTAGTAAAGATTTTCCTGAAAACAGAACATTTCTAACATTGGCATTACAAAATATAGTTTTACAATGTACATCATACACATTGCTTCAGACTGACATCCACATAACATGCACCTGTAGAAAAACAAATTACCAGTAATTGCATCAGTCACACATTTAGTGACAGCAACTTCCCAACATTGGTTCAATCCACAAGATTCTATGACTAATGTCCTTTGGCAAGACATTAATCTACATTTGCCACACTCAACCCAGGTGAGATAAATGGGTAACTGGTAGGATTATTCCTTGAAATGTAATGTGCGCTGATATTGACTGGTAGAGCTAAAGCTAGGGTAATAATTTCCAAAGCTCTTTGGAAGCGCATAGAGATGTTATTTCATAACGTATTATGCGCTATACAAGAACTGAATATTATTATTATTATGACGCTGATTCTTGATATTACCTCTTTGAGTCTGTCCTGTAAGATGGTTGAGATCTGAGTCCTGGTGTAAGGAGCAAAGTGAAGTAGCTCTGGTCTACATTTGGGTCTGGATTGTAGCCTAGGTAGGATTCTATCAGTGAGATCCAGTGAATTGGCCACACCTGTTAGACACATCAATCAACACACAGGTTTAATAGTCTCATCAATACAAGCTTCACAATTTGGAAAGGTGAACTTATAGAATCGTGCTACTTTTGCTGGAACTATGAAGAAACACAATTTGTTTTTGTTTTGACATTATAAAGGATCAAATATGATTGCATGATAAGCTTATTTCAAATAGCTATGCTGCAGGGATAGATAGGAATGTGTACTTTACATGCTCTGTTGAGAGTATTGATTTATACAGCATCTACCATACAAAAGAAAGAATACAAGTACCGGTAATGTATAAATACAGTCAACTGAAAGCCTAAATATATGTATCTATAAGAGACAACAGTCAGTGGAGGATAAAATGTAGACAACATGATAGCCTAATGAAAGCTATGTGTATATCTTTATTGGCTACTAAGAGTAGTGGCCCATCTACTGTCTTTCACACTATTGTATTAACACTCAATAAACCCTTACCCTAGGGTACAACTATAGAATTCCTGTAATCTGGGATTACTTTCTTAATCCAGTGATTTGCAAACAAAGGGTCATGAGCGCTGATCAAGATTGAACACACAACATTGTTTTCCCTAAGCAACTTACAACAAAGATGAAAGCCTACAATGAATTGAAAGTAAGGGCACATTCAAATTGGAATTCAAGACTCCTTTCAGGAAACTCTTGTGCCTTCTTTCTTGCAAGTAATTCCAACATTGCATATTCATTCCCAGACTTAAAATCTAATAAATTGTTATAAAGAGCACATAGATGGGATGTTGATTCCAATTCCTGTTAAACCTTGACTTCTCTGAAAGTGGCTTCATGTGGAGGTCACCTTGATGGTGGTCAGACAGGCAAACTGTGATCTTACCTACGAGCACCAATCTAGACTTGGGAAGACTTGGCCACTCAAACATGGTGTAAAGAACCTCCTGGCCTTTGGAGTCTAAGTGATCTATCTCATCCAACACCAACAATCTATGGAAGAGAGGAGAGATACTATATTACAAGCTACTACACAGATGTATATATATCAAGTATGAAATGTTTGTGAGGCAAACAGATCAGGGATCGCAGAGTTTTTACCATTCATGCAACATTTATTAACACTTTGGGAACTGTTTATGTGGTTGGTTATATGTGACAGAGTACAATACAACACCCCAAAAAGAAAAAGATAAATATATAAGTAGTATACCCATAAAATATATTTTAACAACAATTCCTGAAGAAGCATTTTACTTACACAGTGGGTCCATTTGATGCGAATGCCTTCTGAAGAGCCTTGGCGGCCATCTTGGCAGATAGCTTGTCTGTTGATACATCCTGTTTTACTTCTTTCAAGACTGTGTTATATATTCCTTGACTCTGTCTGACCAGCATGCAGTTCACAAATATATGCTGAGTGTTTCTTCTGGAACTCTGTAATTAACAAAAAAAATTAAATTAGTGTGAACATCAAAGCATCTTAGTACAATGTCATCCTGTTTAAAATTACAGCATGGAGTGACACAGAATAAAAGCATATGTTTGTTACGAACTCTCTGGAACAAGAAGAAAAATAATGCCTCCGGCTACTTCGTAACATGGCATAATTACTTGACCAAGTTACTAGGTAGGTAAGTAGAATGCTAAATACCTTTTGTTGTTGTAAGATCTGTTTGAGGCAAGCTGTCTTCCCGGTTCCAGGAGCACCAGAGATATAAAGACTTCCTGGTTTCCTGGCCTCTAGATGATTCTTGAGGAATGATTGAATGGTTTGAGTCTCTTTCTCTCGGCATAGGAGACGCTCGGGGAGGGATGTGTGAAGTGCTTTCTTTGCTGAGCTGTAACATTCATCTGAAATATCAATACATATCCCATTTAACAAAAGTGATAAGAAAATTTGGCAGGTCCTTAAAACGTGCCTCAGATTTATGGAGGCTTCTTTTCCCCGCTGATGAACTACTGCATGTAATGAAACGGTTGCATGGTTATTGTTAAAAAAGCAGTGCGAACACAAATTGCATACCACAGACTGCTACATATAAACCATGAACAATAAAACTGAGAAGTCATTGGAATCATTCCTTTGAAGACTAAGGGCGTGTTTATGCTTAACTTTTTCTGGCCAGAATCAGGCATCTGTTACGCATTTAGTTTAAAACACGGTTGCGTCCTTTCTCACTTTTGTAGAATCACTGAAAAACGGTGATCACGATCACCGATCGTAAACTCACAAAAAGATGCGTTTACAATTTGTAAACGCGTTTAAATGGGGTCAACGCACTGACCTCTAGTGGGTCTACACATGGACCATGGTCTACATAGCATATGCGCATTTCAAGGTTGCACATCCAGCTGCAAGGCCAATTAAGGCCACCCAGGGAGAATTGCCTGGAGGAGCCAGAGAAGTGAGCATAAACAGTACACCGTGGAACTGTGATTACGATGAGCGTTTACGATGAGCGTTACAAATCGCTCATTCGGCCTTCAAAATTTAAGCTTAAACGCACCCTAAGAGGTACAAAACAGTATTGCATTGAAAAATAAATGATTTTTGCACACATGTCTGACCACTATCAGAAAAGGAACAGATGAAAATATTGCAATGTGAAAGTTAAAGAGAGAGGAAGTTGGAGGTGATGAAGGGAGAAGTGGATGGGAAGATTGAATATTCCCACACAGATTGTTTAAGACCTTACCATCTGGTCTAGTGATGGTGAGTTTCCTGGCAGGGGTCACAAAGGATTCTGGTCTTTTTGAAGGTGACTTCGTTGGAGAAGATAAATCATCTAGTATAGATCTCTTGACTTTTGTTGGACTGCACGGCTCTGGATGCTGGTTTTCATCATTGTAATGTTCTGAATAAAAAGATAAGAATCAGTTGTCATCATAAACATATAAATAATGATTATGAATAAATAACAAGAGCTTATATGGGGGTGGGGGTAATGTGGTCTTGTGGAAGTCACTGTCCTATGCACTTGCATCCTTTGGCAAGACAAGTGATCCACATTCCCCACTCTCCACTCACATACCTGTTAACGAATGGGTAACTGGTAGGAAAAAATTCAATTTTCTTTCACTAATAGATCTATATTACATGAATTGAAACACTTTCACTTATATAAAAAACATCAAATGGTTTTAGAATGCGACCCCTGACCCTCATGGTATCATACCTGTATGTGATCTTTTCCTGGGAGACTTTGACGGTGACCTGATACTCCCTACAGGGGATTCCTTAGCAGCTACAACTGAAAATATTGAGAGAGAAAATGCATAGTTAATGTACAAGTTAACAAATGAGTACCGGTAATCTAGGTTTTATAGAATTAACTTTCAAAACCTCCTTTTCAAGCAAACAATAACCAAGAGTTTGCACAACTCTCAATACATGTTCATGTTCCTGACTATGAGTTCAGATGAATACCCTTTCAAAACCTGTGATAAAGAAGAAATATCATTTTACTGTTAGTACAAAATGTTTATTACTGAATATTAAGAAATATCAAAAAGACAGTCTCAATGATATACTTACTCCTCTTTCTAGGTGAGAGAATTCCATCCAGTCTACCTGCTAATGATGTAAAGCTTGGTTCCCTATTCACAGGTATTAATCTTGAAGAAAGCGAAGAAAGACTTTTACTTCTGCAGTGGTCTTTCTTTAGTCCAGCAAGGTTCTTCTCTTCCCCTTTAAGAGTAAGTAGAGTCCTGCTTGGTGTTTGGGTCTTTCTTGAAGGGAATGCCAGAGTGGATTGGCGGCCTCTTCGAGTTTCAACAGGCATGATGGTATGGTGGAAGCTTACTGCAATCATAAAGGGTATTGTCAGAGGACTGTCTTATTATCACTTATTATTAATATTAACATTTTCACTGGAGCTCAAGGAACTTATAGGTTACAGCTTTGGTGTTTGTCTCAGTTCAATCCTACACACATCTAGATATGATATCCTAGTAGAGCTATCACTTATAAGTAGTAGTGCTGTTCCGAGAATGAGGATCGTCCGCATAAACAAGGATATCCTTGTAGACCTATACACAGATAAAATGGGTCATTAAAAATAAGCATCGTCCAAATTTTCGCGGACGTTTTTTTCATCGGGTCTCTACAGGTTTCTGTTTAGATCTACCACGCGCTGGCGATGCGAAAAACGGATTCCTTGTAAGAAAATAACCCCAGTTCACCGTCTACTTTCATGGGTTGTCCGCCTTCCCGAGGATATAGACTAGGCCTATAGCTGATGAGTCTAAACTATTAGGCCCTAGATCTAAGTCTCTTTACAAAGTTAATGTAGATTCTAAAATGCATCAAAAAATCATTGCGGAATTAGTTTTACGCATCGCCAATGCGCGGATCAGAAATATGAAACAACTGCGAAAATGTGGATGATCCGTCAGCATTTATGAAGACAATCCTCGTTTATGCATTCTCAGACCAGCGCCCCTAGATTTACTGCTGATTTTCTCATAACCATTTTCAACAATAGAACTAGCTAACACAAGTTAGGTCTACTATCTAGACCTAGATCTAGATTCTAGACCATAAACCCTACAACATGTTGATGTTAAATTGACAGTGTTGATCAAGTCAAGCATTTTGCAGCGCCAAATAATAATAGGGGCATCGAAACATGTATTGTAGCCTAACTTGTAAATTAGTGTAGGCCCAGATTAAGTTGTATTAATATTCAAATTATAACTGCGCAGCACAGTCACTGCAATAGTACATAGGGCCTAGCCTGTTTGTTTGTGTACTTGTAGTGTACAGACAGTGTAGGCCCTAACATTACAAGTATAACTCCCTAATCACACCAATTCGGTAAAGTAGTGGATTAAATCTTGTTCTAGAATCTAGAATTTCGTAATACTCACGTTTATTAGAAGAGCAAAAGACCCAGCGTTTGGCAGCTTCGATTCAGCTTGGATATGGAGTTAGTAGTGGAGTCAAATAAAAAGCAATGTGTGTACGTGTAGCCTACGTAAATTAAATGTATCGGTAGGATAGCTAGCTTCCCGCGAATCGAGTTCCGCGCGAAACAGTCAGCTGATTTAGTTAGCGTCCTGCAACAAAGCCATGTGATTGGTCCTTACAACACACAAGCCCCCCTGTTGTGTGTAAAATTTGCATGGCCTTTAAATGAAGCGAACATCCTCCTATATTAATTTCTACAAAAAATTAATGGAAAAATTATGTTATAAATTATAATCAAGTCAATATTATTTTAGCTCATTTTCCATATTAGATTAATATCAAAATAGATTCAAGAGGTAAGAAATATATTTTATTTCCTGGAATTATAGTTCATTTTCTATCGAAGGCTATAGATTTAGTGTTACTCCTAAAATAAGGCTAATGCATATTCATTAAAATTCTGCCCTTTCTAGAGTTTACACAAGCCGCCGAGGTTAAATAATATAACTTTTAAAAAATGTGGGGAAAAGTTATAACATAAATTCATGGCGGCATTTTACTTCAATTTTCGCGGAATATTGTCAAAATTTGCAAAAAAATGTACAATTATCGTGAATTTTGACAATATTTCGCGATTTTTTTTTCTAAAGGCCCTGAAACTCCACTGTACTTACTGGACCTACTAGGAGACTGACGGTTTGTGGATTTTTTAATGAAAAAGTGACCCATAATAGGGCGACACATCCCCGTATATGTGAGAACCCCCCCCCCCCCCCCCCCCCGAACTAATCCACCATTTTTACTATTATAGCTGTACTAACACTAATTTTCTTTGCCTAATTCGTGAGAAAATATTTAGTGCGAATCGAATAAGTGGGGGGGGGGGGGGAATAATGAGTACTATTTTTTTTCTTACTCAACACCCACATCCCCCCCCCCCCCCTTGAGGAAAAAATTAGTTTTTCTTTGGGGGGGGGGCATTCTCTTCAAATCCCCAAACCCTTAAATTTATTTTTATGCGAATTTGTTTACCATGTTGATATTTTTGTACAGGCATCCGGCCCACCCTCTTTCGACAAAGTCCTGTGATCTGCGTCTCTTGAACTCTCTTCCTTACCACAAATGTACAATTTAACCCTGTTTTATTAAAATTACCATTTCTCTAATTCTAGACATTAAAATAACATGTCATGCACTGATTGGTTGAAGCTAGTCCGATGGGGAATCAATGAAATTCTACAAATTCATCATTATTTTCCTCTTCTTCCTCATCCTCTTTTTCTTCTTTTCCTTCTTCTTTTTCTTCTTGTACTTATTATCATTTCTATCATCAATTTAACGTTGTTATTATTAATAATAATTATTATCTTTAATAAGTAATTATTTTTATTTTTATTATCTGTCTGTAAATATTATAATTGTGTACATGTCTGTAGGGGACCCCACTTGAAATAAGCTCTCGAGCTTTCGTGGTTTATCCTGTTCAAGCTTACTTATTTTCTATCTGTTATTATTGTATATTGTTGTATGTTGGAAGCTTGTCGAATAAAATCAATCAATCAAGCAATACAAAAAGATCATGTGGCATATACATACGAAGGAAAGACGCTACAAACAAAACACGAAGAACGACCCGGAAAAGACTAGAAAGCTGAACTACTGAATTATGAATGACCTTACTTTGAGGTCGACGATTCTCAGCACAAACATTACAAACGCAATTTTGTGTGCGCTTGTACTGCAGGGAGGCACTAAATTGTTATATTACAGAGTTCACGTGGCGTTATCGCAGGGAATAATGGTGGAATCAGACAGGTAAATTATGTTTTTTTCAAGTAAAATATTCAGTTTAAATTTCCTCCTTGAAATAATGTCACTGTCTCAGATCGAGTGAGCAAGCCACGGAAAGTCAGCGTCCGCATCGGCTATGGACATGCGTACTAATCCTATTGATTTTTTTCGTAAGGTATTCCCGGTCAGGGCCCTCGGTCAAACAGAAATAACCGTCTGGTACTGGTAGCCTAGAAAGCAACCTCAACCACTTGCCGTCTTTGCCACCAGGAAGATGAGGATAATATCCACTTTGTGGCCTCCTGTAGTATCCTAGCGTCACACCGAAGTGACTTCATCGGAGAAATGCAGAGCAGACACTTTTCTGAAACCACCCTCTCATACTTCAACTTCAATGATGGCTTTGCATTCACAAAAGCTATACTTCTTCCCAACCACCTCATGCTCCCATCAAATCTATATGATAGACTGAACACTCTAATTCTACTCTTCCTTCATAAAATTCACATTGCCCGTACCTCTATCCTTTCCTCTCCCACTTGAATGTTTGTAACTACAATGTCAACAGCTGGAGACGAAAGACACCAACACTGACGCTTGCAGAATACAACTGCAGATCTCCGAGAACAACGGAGGAAGAAGAAGAAGAAGAAGGTACTCACACATACCGGCAGCTGCATTACTACCCTGGCTGTATATTAGAAACTGTTCTAGTCTATTGATTCTCAACATTTCAAACACCACTGCACTGGCACTGTCTGTACAAAACTCAACTGATTTCACTCTAAATCGGTACTTTTTTAGTAGGGTGTCTGATCGTGATCGCGCACTCGATGTTGTGTGCTAAAATCCTTCCCATAGTACCCTAGACCGAATTTTCCGTCTCTTTCGTTCGTTAGCCTCTTATTGGGGTAGGGTCGGCTCTCTCTTTAGAGACCGAAACAGACTAGATCTATCCCGCGAAATGTGTAGGGTTATGTGGGCAAATCAGCACACCAAACTTGCAAAACTTATCCCCGAATTACTCCTTTCACAGGATGCAAATCCGATGCATTTTATATTGTAAATTGGGTTAAAACTTAACTACTTCGGTTCCACTTACCAACTTGACTGAAATAATCTGTTTAATGGTCCATTTTTAGGAAATTATGGGTCAAAATCGATATCCATGATGAAAATCTTGGGAGCCGTGTTAAACTCTCGCTGCCGGAGTCATCTAAATCAATCTCATCCCTTCTAGTCAAGTCTACACCGAAGGCAAATTGATTATGAAGGAAAAACTGTGATAACGCCATTACGAACGTGTAGATGGCGCACAGTTTTTCCTTCATAATCATAATCCCTATGCAGTCTACAGTAGGGGCGTTGCCGTTGGTCCGAGAATAAGGATCGGCTTCATAAACAAGGAATGTCTTCGTAAACGTGGACTGATGCGTCCTCAAAAATTAGAATCGTCAGCATTTTCGCAGACGTTTCATATTTTTGATCGGCGCATTGGCAATGCAAAAAACGGATTCCGCAATGATTTTCTCGATGCATTCATTTTTACAGAGACTTTGTACAAAGACTTTCAGAAGACGGACAATCCATAAAAGTAGACGGTGAAGTAGGGTTATTTTCCCACGAGGAATCCCATTTTTCGCATCGGCAGGGGGCAGTTCGGTAACCTAAAACCCGCTGAGCGCCGATGAAAAAAAACATCCTCGAAAATGCAGACGATCTTTATTTTTGAGGACGCATTTTCGTCCGTGTTTACAAGGATATCCTCGTTTATGAGGACGATCGATCCTCATTCTCGGACCAGCGCCCCTACTGGTCGATGTGCATTGCGCGATCATGCAAAATTGGTCAATGTTTTTATTACCAAATCGAGATTCAAACCTTTATTTCTTGTGATCCTGAAGGTAATACTCAATAAATGAGGTGTCATATGAAAGAGCAGATTAATCTCCATACTTTAAAAGGGGCATCATCTCGGAATTCTAAAACTATCTGAGGCAAAACAGCTATTTAAATGTTTCCATTTTAAGAATTTTCTTTCGTTCAAACAGTAACAATATGGACTTGGGGATTTTGTCTTAAGTGTCCACAAACCGCAGCAGGTTAATCTATGGCTGTACATGATACAAATTTAAGAACTTTAAAAATGATTATGGGGAAGAGTGTGTAACACCCTTGAATGAAACACCAAAGTGCTCACCAACCAACCGTGGCTTTATTCTTTTTTGTGTGTAGTGAGGGAGATTCCAGTGATTCCACATCTTCCAGTGAAGCATCACCAATCCCAGAAAGGGAAAAGAAATCCAGGAGAAGAGAGAAGGATGCTAGAGATGAGCATGGGAGGACGGGAAGAAGGTCCCCATCCCCAAGACGTAGATCAACCCGGAGACAGAGTTCAGGGGAAAATGAGAGAAGGAGGGATAAACAGGAGGTAGAAGAGAAAAAGGACAGATCTTTATCAGATGAAGAAGGTGTGGATAGTAGGGACAAGCCTCATTTGAGGAAATCTGTCAAGAGTGATGATACTGAAGATGGAAGGTCAAGAAGGAGAGAAGATGATGGAGTCATTAATAGAAGACACAAATCTGATGATGAGCTCTCAGTTGGTGCGGACTCAGATATTGAGACACTGCAAGAAGGGTAAGCATTAACTCAGTAAGCATGTGTATGATTTGATTCTTAAGGAAATGGTACCAAATAAAACTAGAAATTTAATTCGTCATGGGGACGAATTAGGTGGTCTGTCTTCAAGTCTTATGATAGATTATAATATTTTCTATATTGAGAAAGGGAGAAGTTATATAGACATGTAAACAATGATGATGATCATGATGATGATGATGATGATGATCTTGATAGTAATGGTGATGACGATGATGATGATGATGATCATGATCATGATGATGTTGATGATTATCATCAACAGACCACGATGACATCAGACTGATCGAAATTAGAGATATAGTCTCAGCTACAACATACTCAAAAATCAACAAAAACCAAGCCGAAATAACGGCGATATTGCTCGCAAAAGACAAGAATGTAGAATCCAGATTTGAGAAAAAGTCATCTCCCATAAGGATTACACGCAAAAAGTAATGGATCAAGTAATAATAGGGTAATAATAAAGTAAATATGGTTGTTTATTACATTATTTGCGATTGTACGTGTTTTAATATTCAAAGGAGATGGTACAGTGAAAGGTCAAAAAGAAAAAAAAGTTAAAAAAAAAAATTGTTGGAGACGCCCGGACTCGAACCAGGGACCTCGAGGTCGGAAGTCAAGTGCGTTACCGATATACCAAAACATTTCCCATAGAGATTACACGTAAACGGAAAATGGAATTATCAAAACCCACTTTGCAAGTGAGATATGAGCATGATCCCGGCATCTGATCGAAAAATGATGGGCACACTTGTAAAAGCTTATTGTCTCAGCTACAACATACTCAAAGCTCAGCGTAAACAAAGATAAAACGACGGAGATATGGCTCGCGAAAGACGAAAATGTAGAATCCAGTTTTGAGAAAAAGTCATGTCCCATAGAGAATACACGCAAAATGTGAAAAATTGACATGCCTCCTTTAATTGCAAAAATACGCCATGATACTATTGTCAAAATGAAATATCGTGCAACTGCATTTGTAGAGAATATTCTAAGGTAGAACATATCAAAATTTGAAAGAAAATTGATCAATATTTACAGAGTTACAATCAATTTTCCAAAAATCTGCTGACGTCATAATATGCAAATTGAAATTTTGAGTTCGGAGGCCATTATGATAACGTCATGAGTTAATTGAGGGTCAAATGACAAATGAAATCATATCTCCAACTCATGCTTTTTCTAACCATGATATAAAAATTGAGGTCAATTGACTATCTGAAGAGCTATTTTGATTTTTAAAATGAAATGTTTTTGATCAAATTTGCATTATATTGCCCATAGCAGCACGCGCGGATTTTGAACTTTGACGCGCGCTCACGGCCTTATAAAAGGTCAAGGGTGACTGAAATTAATGTAAATTGTCATTTAGGGTAAGAGGAATCCAAATCAAGTAAAAAAAATGAATTTGACCTTTTCCGCGCGTTGTGAGCGCGCGCAACGCGCGCGTTGACACGTACGGACGGAAAATTTTGAAATGCTTAAAATGACCTGATTCGTACTCTTGTTTAATAGTTAAGTGATTTTGAGCATTTTTAAATTTTGACGCGCACGTACGCGCGCGTCATGACCTTTATGTGATTTTTGATGACATGACCTGTTGACTTTTGACCTGAAATATATGTGATATGAATATGAATGATCTTTGCTGATGCATCATGAAGATATGATGGATAACGTGATTTCACAAAATGGCGCCTGGATGACGTCACGATGACCTGATGACCTTGAAAATGTTCTTGTCACGTCTCATGACAATGACTTATAAATGTGTCAAAATTGAAAGAAATTAACACAACCAATCTTGAGTTAACCGATAAACAAAAAATGGGAAGAAATAAAAACGAGAATGTAGAATCCAGTTTTGAGAAAAAGTCATGTCCCATAGAGAATACACGCAAAATGTGAAAAATTGACATCCCTCCTTTAATCGCAAAAATACGCCATGATACCATTGTCAAAATGAAATATCGTGTAGACTGCATTTGTAGAGAATATTCTCAGGTAAAACATATCAAAATTTGAAAGAAAATTGATTAATATTTACAGAGATACAATCAATTTTCCAAAAATCTGCTGACGTCATAATATGCAAATTGAAATTTTGAGTTCGGAGGCCATTATGATGACGTCATTAGTTAATTGAGGGTCAAATGACACATGAAATCATATCTCCAACTCATGCTTTTTTCAACTATGATATAAAAAATGGGATCAATTGATTATCTGAAGAGCTATTTTGATTTTTAAAATGTGATGTTTTTGATCAAATTTGCATTATATTGCCCATAGCAGCACGCGCGGATTTTGAACTTTGACGCGCGCTCACGGCCTTATGAAAGGTCAAGAGTGACTGAAATTAATGTAAATTGTCATTTACGGTAAGAGGAATCTAAATCATGTAAACAATTTGAATTTGACCTTTTCCGCGCGTTATGAGCGCGCGCAACGCGCGCGGTGACACTTACGGACGGAAAATTTTGAAATGCTTAAAATGACCTGATTCGTACTCTTCTTTAATAGTTAAGTGATTTTGAGCATTTTAAAATTTTGACGCGCGCGTACGTGCGCGTCATGACCTTTATGTGACTTTTGATGACATGACTTGTTAACCCTTGACCTGAAGTATATGTGATATGAATATGAATGACCTTTGCTTATGCATCATGAAGATATGATGGATAACGTGATTTCACAAAATGGCGCCTGGATGACGTCATGATGACCTGATGACCTTGAAAAGGTTACTGTTATGTCTCATGACAATGACCTATGACTGTGTCAAAACTGAAAGAAATTGACACAACCGATCTTGAGTTAACCGATGAACAAAAAACGGGGAGAAATAAAAATAAATAATAAATAAATAAATAAATAAATAAATAAAGAAAGAAAATTCTGACGAAAACAATAGGTGATCTGTCGTTGACAGACCACCTAATTAATAAAATGAGTTATGAGAAGTAATGTGTGATCATCCACTTTTGTATTTCACAAATGCTTTATCCAAATGGTGTTATTCAATGATTTAAGAAATTGGCATATTCCTAAAGTAGGACATTCATATGATATCCTTTATCTGAAGGTTAAGTGTAAATGTATGACCAAAGGAAAACATTGTCGTGAATTGTCAGGTCGACATTAACATTATTTTATTTATTATTTAAATATTTTCATACAAAGCAAAGTACATGTACTATTCAAAATAAGTTGGAAACATTGGGAAATATGTTTATTGTGTATTTTCATCATCATGTATTTAATGGACTGTATGTTTTGGGATCTTATTCATGTTAATTCCTCAGCATCCCAGAACCAACCGTGCAACAGAAGCAGCAAAGGAAGCCAGCTAGGTTTGACAGTGACAGTGATGACAGTGAGAGTAGTGTTTCCTGGAGAGAACGAAGGGTGAAAAGTGTTCTACTAAGCAATGAGCAACCAGTAGAGGACAGACGAAGCTGGTAAGAGAAGAAATATATTAGTACTAGATTATTGGTGATTGTACAGGGTCAATATCCACACAAGGGAAAATGAACCCTGAGGCTCATATGGTTGACAATGATAGTGTGCATCTTCTTTATTGCTCATGTCATTCACCCAGCTGTACTTCGAGTCTTGCCTGAGCTGCCAGATACGATGTGTAAATGTTAAAAATCTAACTAATTTGCAGCTTTTCCTGTCCAGGGATAGCTTTATGATTTTCTCAGTACTTGTAGGTGAATGATAATTCATTCTTAAATGGACATTTAAGAATTTATATTTATTATATTTAATTTATATTGCAGGGACTATGCATCCGATGATGAAGATGGAAGAGGGAAAAAGATGCAGAGTGCAGTGGGTAGCAACATCATCCATGGCAATGTGAGAGAGACTGAAGGAGGAGATGAAGATGGTGAGATGGACCAGGATGGAGACAGAGAAGAGAGAAGGAAGGAGGATAAGGATCAGGATAGCACGGATAGAGAACGAGGGAGAAATAGAGAGAGGGAACATGATAGAGACCGTGATCGCAGGAGGGAAGGAAGAGATAGAGAGGAGAGAGACAGAAGAGGACGAGATGGTGATAGATCCAGGCCCAGGTTCGTATGAAATGACTTCTCATTTATCATCTCTGATCTCATTACCTTTATCGTGTGATAATGAATAAAGGGGGAAGCTTGGCTTGATTGAGACCGAGAAACTAGAAGGATTGTGCATAAAGGTTGTCATCCTTGTTCACTGAAGTCTCTAAGGAATTCACACCATATACCTCATAATTGTTATCTAAAATTTGAAATACCAAATCCCCTTTCCTAAGATCTTATCGTTCGAGATGATATGTTATGCTTATTTTTTGTTTACCAGATGTTAATTATGAACTTGTTTATCCAATGTATTTTAGGGGAGAGGAACGCGATCGAAGAGATAGATCTCTTTCACCAAGCCACTACAGCAGGATGAAAGACAAGTACGAGGACCGGTTCCGAGGCGGTTCTAGGCGAGACAGATTAGAGGAGGGAGAGGTCGAGGAGACAGGAGGATATGAAGATGCAAGGAGAAGATTCAGGAATAGAAGATTTAGAGAAGAGGAGGAAGAGAGAATGAAGCGTAATGAAGACAGAGACCAAGATAACAGCCGACGGTAAGTGAACAACTTATCTTCCAAGTTGACTTTTGGTCAACTCTATATTGGAAAACTATGTAATTTTTACAGTGCTAGTCTGATAGATGATCATGTGCTTGCTGTGATAATTCTTTGGTGTTTTCCTTTGTGAGCAGGTTTAGCATGTTGCCCTACAAGTGTGGTATCAGGCAGAGGAACTCTGAACAGAGACTCTAATCTGCAAGGGGCTTGTCGTCCCATTATGAACAATGTAAATTTCAGGTCCCTCAGAGAGGACCTAAAGCCGTACTAACAAGCATTTATGCTTTCTTAGCAGTCGGGTAAAATAACCAATACCACCACCACCAAATTGCACTTTCAAATATTTCAATGAAATAACCTGTCTCTATGCAATCTCTCCATTTCATGAGTTACAATTAAGAAAGATGTTTGTTTTGAATGACTATGTCTTTGTAGGAGAAGAAGAGAAGATGGAGAGGAGAACAAGGAGAATGCTGCTCCACCTCCCAAGAAGAAGAAGCCAGAAATAGATCCTCTTCTCACAAGGACTGGTGGAGCTTACATCCCTCCAGCTAAACTAAGGATGATGCAAGCACAGATTACTGATAAAACAAGGTAAAATAAATAAATAGATTCTTGTATTTAGAAACTCTAATGTTCATGTGTGGACTTTACATGTAAAGTGTGTTTCATTAAATGTGTTCCCCTTGTTTATAACCCTCCTTCTCAATCAGTTGATAAACCTCCTTCTTAACCAGTTGATAAACAAATGTCATCAATATCCAAGTGTTTCATCTTCGCATCTAAACAAAAGTACATCTGCATAGATAGTAGTTTGGATTATGTTTATGATTGATGATAATTCTCAACAGTGTGGTGGAAAAACTTTACTCTCCCTAGAAACAAAAGTCTTTCAAATATTTGCCTCCTTAACCATCAGAGTAAGAGATCACATGCACCGAGAGCTAGAGACCTTAAAAATAGAGGCCACAGCATGGCTCTTACTTCTACTACACATTGGGAAACAGTCATGTGATAAATCAGGAAGACGATGATCAGAGTACGTACCTTCAAACCAGCCACCTTGACGATGTCAAACTGATTTCTTTCTTCTCTTAATCTCATTACAGTGTTGCATATCAGAGGATTTCATGGGAAGCACTGAAGAAGAGTATCAATGGTCTGGTGAATAAGGCTAACATCTCCAATCTTGGCTTGATTGTACAAGAGATGCTACAGCTCAACATTGTACGAGGACGGTATGTTATCATGACATCATAATCATAATAATAATAATAATAATAATACATTTATAGAGCACAGAAACTATCCAACATTAAGTATATATTCTACTTCACTACAAGAGCTCCTGATATGTGTAAGATTTACACTTAATTAAAAAGATGTGTTTTCAGTAATGGTTCTGTTTTCCTTGTACAAGAATTGCAAAGCATCATGTTTGGTATGAATTAGCAATATACTATACATGTGAAGTTGTACAGTCATAGATGATGTAAATCTGTGATAAGAAATAAAAAACCAACCATGCAAAGTAAAGTCCATGTGGGATTATCATGGCAAAGCATAACACTGGCAATGGTTTGAGAAGGCTCCATCTGTAAATATCTATCAATAAGATTTTAGGTGACCTGCTTGCACTGTAATGTTATTCCATTAAAACTTGATTTTCAGAGCATGTATTAAGAAGGAGATCTTTATCATATTTTTTAACATTGTTTTTTAGACACCTTCAGTTTTGTAAGCCTTTAAAAGCTATAGTAAGTACATCATCACAATTTTCTTTTTCTGAATTACAAAAGATGGCTTTCCTCCAATTATAAGGGGCCTATTTGCAACACAGTTAAGATCTCATTGTTAATGGATGATTAATGGACACGCTATGTTTTATATCATGAGTTAGTACCTGATTTTATGTACCTTGTATAATGATCTTATAATGATTTTGCATGTTTTGTATATTACTGATATATAACTGTTTATAATTCTGTCTTGCCTACAGTGGTTGGTTAGCTAAAGCAGTGGTTGATGCTCAGTCTGCCTCACCTACCTTCACTCATGTGTATGCAGCATTTATAGCCATCATCAATACAAAGGTAAGCCTCACATACAAGTAAGCTCTCCTATGAAAGACTATACTTGTTCTATTATGTGGGATTTAGGTGTCACATATATACTGTTGCATTGTATCCTTGGTGTTTGGCAAATAATGTGAAGATTAGAAATAAAAAAGCATGAACAATATGGAAACATTGACCACCACCTTTGTACTGTATATAAATCAGGATTTTCCTCTTCTTTACAGTTTCCACAAAATGGAGAACTCATCTTGCGACGACTCATCACTAACTTCAAGAAGGGTTATCGCCGTAATGACAAGAAGCTTTGTCTCTCCTCAACCAGGTTTATTGCTCACTTGGTCAACCAGCAAGTGGTAAGATCCAAACCCTCAATTGTGTCACCCAGAATCAGGATTGTAATGATAGAGGAAATGTATTAAATAGTTTCGTTTCAAGCCTCCCCGGCTCCAAGGCACAACCTTGTTGGTCTGGTTATTGCATAGTCTGAAAGATAAATTTGTCTCTCTGAAGAAAAAATGTGTGTTTATGCTGAGGAAAAAGGAGATAAATTGTTCTTTTAAACAATAAAACTTTCAATCCAAACTAATTTACTCTCTGTCTCTTCACAACCTCCTTTATAAATATAGTCTATACATGAAGAGTTGTGTTTGTTCCAATTGTTTGCATATGAAAACAAATTTGGGAATTAGAAGAGAGTTCTACCAAATTCGATAGAATTTCAATGTTTTTTCCTAGATCTTTTTTTAAATTACCCCAACCATCATGATAAAATTGTTCAGAAATTAGGGAGTTGTTAATATCTGTGATTTGAAAAGACTCCCATGTTCGAATCAGGCTCGCTACTACTACTATGTAGTAAATATAGGCCTCAGTTTGTATTTTATCTTTAAGTTACATGATTATGGCATTCCTGTATGCAGCACAGGCCTCTTGTTCATATCAAGTTGTGTGGATGTATGAGAAATGAAACAACACCCTGTGCTTCCTAAATGTTGCATGTAAAACAAGATGTTAGAAAGCACAACAAAATGTTTTGTTTACATCATGATTTCATAACATTGAGATGTTTTGATTTGTTTGCCATACTGCTTTCCCCAGGCTCATGAGGTAGTATCACTGGAGATACTAACCCTGTTGTTAGAGCAAGCTACAGATGACAGTGTGGAAGTAGCTGTGGGATTCCTCAAGGAAGTTGGACAGAAACTAACAGAACTTTCACCAAGAGGAATCATGGGTAAGAACAAACATCTTCTCTAAATCTTTGAAAGTTGTGTAGGGAAGCTTTGAGACAGACATTTATTGACAATGCAAACCGACCCTCCCCATTTTTCTAGATGAAATGTTTTGAGATGACAGATATGAAATAAGATCAGCTAGAGTCCCTCCTACAGTTTACAGTGCTCTGTATTGTATTTTGTTTCTTGACCTTCTGTAAATCCTCTTGGGACCTTAGGAGTACTGACACCACAAAGCACCTTTCCATTTAGAGGATTGTCTCAGATGTTAATTGTGCTTGTAATTCCATCAGCCACTATTTTATTGATTCATCATCAATAGTGATCTGTCAGTTTATGACAGGTTCAGTGACCCATTCAAAATTCTATATCAAGTGTCTCTCCAAGTTTCTCTCCAGGTTCCTCGGTCTTGAGCCAACCGTTTCATCGTTTCATACCCTGTTGCTCCACATTGTGTGATTACATCGTCTAGAAAGCCTTTACGAGGTCTTCCCCTCTTCTTCTTTCCATGAATACGACCTTCTATGACTCTGAGCATCAAGATTATTGATTATATAGATATTTACATGAATGAGGGATAGGTGAGATAATGAATTGATTCTTTAATATTGTTTCAGCCATCTTTGAGCGACTGCGTAGCATCCTTCATGAGGCTCAGATAGAGAAGAGAGTTCAGTACATGGTAAAGGGATAGATGAGATAATGAATTCATTTTTTGATATTGTTTCAGCCATCTTTGAGAGACTGCGTAGCATCCTTCATGAGGCTAAGATAGAGAAGAGAGTTCAGTACATGGTAGAGGTTATCTTTGCCAATCGTAAGGATGGTTTCAAGGAGTTTCCTGCGGTCATTGAAGAACTGGACTTGGTCGAGGAAGATGACCAGTATACTCATCTACTCACACTTGAAGATGATTACCAAACAGAAGATATACTCAGTAAGTAGAACAAACCCCTATGCGTGATTCATATTGGCATGATGTTGTTCTCATACTTTGGAGGGGATTGTAGAAAGGTGGGTTAACGGTAAACTCATCTACCGAACTTTGATGAGGATTACGTAACACACAAGATGGATGTACAAAGGAGATGGGCTAATTTCATATCATTGCATTTGGTCATACAATGTGTCATAACAAAATGTCTTTTTGTTGTTGTTCTTTTTTTTCTTTGTTGCTTTTAAAGCATGTTACTGTGCAGGATCCAGATTCTCTTGTAAACGAAGAGATAGATTAAACAATTGATAAAATGAGATGAGATTAGTTTTTATAAAATGCAATAATATTTCCTTTGCTGTCGTTATTGTTCTATCCAGATGTTTTCAAGGCTGATCCAGAGTTTCTAGAGAACGAAGAGAAATACAAAGCAATCCGTAAAGAGATCTTAGATGAAGACAGTGAGGATTCTGGATCAGGTGGTGAGAGTGGATCAAGTGAAGAAGATTCTGATGAACAAGAAGCAGCAGGTAAAGTTCTTACCCAAACATACATCAGTTAGGGCATTAGTAAGAATTACCCACACAAGGTACCTTTGGAACAGTTTAACACGTGTTTGGACTGTTTTGAAGGTACCAAGTGTGGGTAATTTTACTAATGCCCGAACAAAATGATGTGTATTATTTGTTTTATAAGATTATGTTTTATAAAATGATGTTTTCTAACATGATTTTGATAATGACCGGTCATTACCCAAATTACGCATAATAACGCGTTAGGCAAAATAAATGCCTGGTCACGTGTACGCTTTCAACCAATCATTTGATTAGGATCCACGTCATCATCTTATGATATATATTGATACAAGCAAGACACTGGAATATCTTTATAGAGGATACTGTATTATGAACATAGTGTAAGATGAAGTTAATGCTGTACTAAATGCATATCAGGAGCAAATGTTTATGAGATTGTCCACTTTTTGTCCTTTCTTTACGTTCCATTTTAATTGGAAGCACTTAAAGCAACACATCATGAAATTCTAAAATTTGAGGCTTAATTACTTTGTGTGATATAGAGGGTTATTTGGTTTATGTATCAATCCTCTGTAACATAAAGATCTTGTACCACTCAAAATGAGTTCTCTCCAAATGTAAACATTATCTTATTTCTTTATTCTATATGAGGTGCATAATTTTGGCCCATCAAAGGAAGTTGGGATTCAAAGAAAATAAAGCAAAGTAAAAATGGTTCCAACTTTGTTATTGTTGTTCATGTCTGTATTGCCCTTGATGTCTTATGACCTTCCGTTGGAGATTTTTTTTCTTCTTTTCTTCATTACTTTGGCTGCTCGCCCTTCTTTACCTATCTCTCTCACTATTCTTATTTTGTTATGATTGCCAGAACAAGAGAAGATGGAGATACAGGATAAGACCGAGACGAACCTGACGGCTCTAAGACGTATCATCTACCTCACCATCCAGTCCAGTCTGGACTTTGAGGAGTGCACTCATAAGATGCTCAAGATGGAGTTGAAGCCAGGCCAAGAGGTAGGACACTCGCTGTGCGGTTGAATTCATGAAGGAGGGTACTTAAAACCGGTCTGCACTAGTTTGGCCAGGGGGGATTAGACCTCCCTGCAAGGTCACTGACAGGTGGTTATTTCATCAAATCAGCTCTCATTTAACATAACAAAAGAGGGATCATGGGGGACCAACAGGCACTGATTATGCATTGTTAGCTATATAGAGGGTGCAAGTAGCTATAAGTAGTGCAGTGGCTTTAAACCATGACCTGAATTATGTTTTTTAAAATTCTATCACGAACTAACATAAGCTTAAATAAGCATTTAATCATGCCGTTATTATTGGCCATTAGACATCCAATCCAATCCAATCCAGAAATTTGTAGAGCGCCAATATATAGTTACCTAATCAAAGGCGCTGAGAAGACTAAAAACCTACTCAATGTACTGTTCATGATTCCCCTGGGAGAGACTGGAGTAGCGGCTAGTTGTGAGCGATATAGAATAGGTATGTCTTCAGTTGGGTTTTGAAAGTGGATAGAAGGTTGCGAGAGGAAAGATTTGCTTATGAAGGTTCGAACTACGGATTATGACAAATCTACTTTGTGAATTTTGGCCTGTCTACAGTACTCTCTCTCTCCACTTATGTTTATTGAAAGGTTATGTTGTTGGGAGAAATATCCTAAATACTGTGAGTACTAATCCTTTGCTGATATAGCAAGGTTGATATTTCCAAAGAGACAAATATTGAAAACAAAGATATGTTAAGCATTATCATGCCTAAGTGCAGAAATACATCATCCATTGAAATCCCCTCTAGTGCCACCTCAGGTCAGCTGTAGCAGTAGGGTCCTGTAACTCGCTGCTTCCCTAGGGGCGCCGTTGGTTCTCGCATCCAGTCCTCTGTATGTGAAGTGAGAATTAGGGATTGGGTTACGCACTGTTGGCAATTTGACCATGAGATGGCGACGTGCAATAAACAGTATGCTAGGGCAGAAAGTTCATCAGTTCAGTATCGCTTTAAAATACACTTAACACCCTTCTGGCTCTCAACAGATGCATTATATATATTGAATATATATGTGCCATGTCCTATGTTCTCTCTTGTCTTTCATTTTTCCAATACAGAAAGAAGTGTGTCTCATGATCCTGGATTGCTGTGCTCAACAGAGGACGTATGAGAAGTTCTTTGGACTATTAGGACAGGTACTTACCCCTACTTTCAAATCTATAGCAGGACATACACAATACATATAACTTGTTGAATACTACCATCATATTAGGCTTACGAACCATCTAGAGATGACTCATGAAATCAAATAGGATTAAATGGCTTAATGTTCAAAGCTGAGAACCAGATATCATGTTGTCACAATCAAGTTTTACTTAACCGGCTTAAAGCGTCCAGATTTTAATCAGATTTTTTAGTTTCACTTTTTTTTCTTTCATGCGATTTATAACGAAAGTCATTCATTATCCAATATTTTGCAGATCAAGAAGAATCCATAGATGTTGACCATGTGGACAGCTGTTGGAAGATGAATGATTATTCTTGAAGTATGATGATCTAATTGACATTTTAGTGTTGAATCTTAATTACACCACTTTTAATGATAATTAATCTTGGTTATTGCCATAATGACATGACTATCTTTTTGTGTTTTTGGTGATGTGCAGAGGTTCTGTCAGCTGAAGCAGGAGTATGTAAGGGAATATGAAGGGATCTTTGGTGAGCAGTATGATACATGTCATCGTCTAGATACCAACAAACTGAGGAATGTAGCCAAGTTCTTCTCTCATCTGCTCTTCACAGATGCCATCTCATGGACGGTATGTATGTAGTCATGACAGGGCTCTTGCATAGTTAGCATTTGGGTTGCCTGCATAGGCAGATGGACAGACAACCCGTACACCTATGAAGGTTGCCTACTCCTGTATTTAAAGTGGGTTGCACAAACTTCACATGATAGTGTATGCACTATTTAATTATTCATCCTGGAAGATTGTTAAGTTGCTACCAGGAGAAAAAAAACAGCCAATAAATAGCTCTTAAGTTGTACACAAGAATGCAATCATTTGAGTGGTGAATAGATGTTTTAAGATTGATGGTTTCAAACCAACACCTGTTCAACAGCTAGGTCAACTGCAAACAGATATAAAAGCAATCCCATCAAAGAGCTATTCTTCTACCCATATGTAGCTTTCAGGTATTACAGTGGAAGGGGTGTATTTATCAGTAGCAGATAGTTTACTGAAATAAGCTTCCAAGATCCCATTTGTTGCTTAAAGTATTGTTAAACCTGACTTTCGATTATCCTTTCATTCTCTCTCAATATCTCAGTCTGTCTTTCACTTTCTCATACCTGGTATATATTATAGTGAAACTGTAATACAGTGCGATTTCATACTATCGATATGTACTATCAATAAACTCGTTGGAACCAGTGTATTACCGCCTTTTATAAGAAATTATATTATATCATGGCTTGAACACAATATGATATGAAGAAGTGTTACTGGTAAACTAGCTTGTTATAATGTGGGTTTGTTATAAGCGTCCACTTTATTCTTACTGCTAACATTAGGAATATCTTTTATCACACAGGTCATTGAAAGCATTCATCTGAATGAGGAGGAAACCACTTCTTCAAGTCGTATCTTCATTAAGATTCTCTTCCAAGAACTATCAGAGTACATGGGACTTCCAAAACTCAATGACAGACTCAAAGATGCGTAAGTACTGTGTGTTGTTCTGTTTTTTATTTTGGAGTATTTTGGAGCAATTAAATACAATTTCCTATCCATGTTGCCTTTGATAGTAATGTGCCCATTGATTTTTTTTGTCCATCTTCTCTAGGCAAACTTAGGTGTTGAAAAGACCTAGAAATCTCTTCCTCAGAGTTATTCAATGTCACTCCATAAATTATAAAGCTTGAAATAATTCTTCCTGTTTATTAGATGTTATTAAATAATATCAAATTGTACTATGTCTGTAATATTTAGACTTGAAATGGGCAATATTACACATAGGCTGTACACATGTAAGCTTTGATATTGTCAAAACTCTGTAATATTCCTAATGCTCACCTGTTTGTCACCTTTGTGTTTTTATTTGTACCTATACTGGTCCCACTAACTTACATGTATGTTTTTTGCTGTGTACAGAACCCTAATGCCATTCTTTGAAGGCATGCTACCTAGGAACAACCCTGCTCATACAAGATTTGCCATCAACTTCTTCACCACCATTGGTCTTGGAGGTCTCACGTAAGTTATATGTCTCTTCTAAGCTTTTATAAAGTCCACAGAGAGAGTTGTCACACGTAGGTAATGTGTCTCTCTGTCTCTGTATCCGTAGAGGTGTCGTGGATGAGTTGATACGTCGGCGGACTGTCAATCACAAGGTCTGCAGTTTGAGTCCCGCTGCGGCACTAATGTCCTTTGGCAAGACATTGATCTACATTTGCCACTCTCCACCCAGGTGTTAAATGGGTACGGGTAGGAAGGAATTCCTTTAAATGCTGTGAGCGCCTTGAGGACCTTGCAAGTTTGATACGTGCGCTATATAAGAATCCAATATTATTATTATTATTATTGTTCTAAAGTACACATACAGAGTTGTCTCATAGATAGATAAATGGTTTATTCAAATCAAATCAAACATGTAAACAATAAATGTTCATTAATTCCATGCTTCGTAGCTAAAAACTAAATTGCGTAATGGATTACAGAATTAATTATTACAAGGTAAAATTGCACTTACTAATAATAAACTACTATAGATAATAATGCAACTCTTGGCACCGGCGTCGAACCGCTGCGCCACCCCAGTCACCAGTGGGGCACGAAACAGTAAGATCATATACCCCCCTGATGAATAGCACGACGCAACGGATCAACACCCATGCATACAATATACAGCACAATTCACAGTGAAATAATGAATACAAAAGGACAGGTATGGCGGAGGAGAAAAAGAAAGGGGGAGGGAGTATAAGAAAATGATAACTTTTACATGATTAAAACATTACATACTTAACAAGAAATACATGCGTAATACTGTACGTGGCAATTACATGTGGCAATGTTACTCAAGGCAATTGTAAGTTATGTCTCTTCATATCTGCTCTAAAGTACACACACAGAGAGTTGTCTCACGTAAGTTATATGTCTCTTCGTATCTGTTCTAAAGTACACATACAGAGTTGTCTCACGTAATTTGTCTCTGTGTATCTGTTCAAAGGGCAAAGTCTCTCTGCATGGATGAAAGCATTGATTTGATTGGTGGAAAGTCTTACCACAGTGAATGTGGAGAATGACATAACTTCAACAAAGCCCCCCTACATTTTCAAATTTATACAATTTTAGCTTGTGATTTCTTTGTAGGATCTCTTGCTTTTGATACTTTAAAAACTTTCTCATGTTATATCTGTAATATCTGTCAAAGTTATTTCTGCCATTTGAATCAGAATCTGATTGAAAATACAGCATATAAGTTGAAAATGACTGCTTAAAAGATTGAATTAATTCAATGTACCACTTATGTTGATTGAATCATAATTCATTACTTCCATAGGGATGATCTACGTGATCATCTGAAGAACTTCCAGCGACAGATCATGCAGCAACAGCAACCCTTAGAAGAGAGTGACAGCGATGATAACGATAGTGAGGAGGAGGAAGAAGAAGAGAGTAGCAGTGAAGAAAGTGAGGAAGAAGATAAGAGAAAGAAGAAGAAGAAAAAGAAGAGACAGGAGAGTAGCGGCGAGGATAGTGAAGAAGCTGACAGAAGTAGAAGAAGGAAGAAGAAGGAGAAGGAAAAGAAGCAGAGAAGGAGAAGGAAGGAATCAACGGATAGTGGGAACGAAGACAAATCTTCAGATGAGGAATCAGATAGTGAGACCTCTGGTAAGACTTTATGGAAAAAGGCTTAATTTTCATTACTCGACAAAACATGAAAATATTCTACATCGTTAGATTCCATATGTGGCACCTTCAGAAGATGGAAATGAAGATTGAACATGTGATGCCTATATGTGTGTGTCTAATATGATTGAGTTGGATATCATTTAATGCTTTAGTGAATAGAATAGAGTAGTTTTCCTTTAATATTCCTGTTATACATTTTGGACAAAACGTCAGCTGCATAAAAAAAATGGAGAAAACAACATGAATATAATTTTTTTTTTTTTTTTTTTTCAAACAGGAAGCGATGATGAAAGAAGGAGAAAGAGAAAGTCTGAAAAGCCCAGGAGAGAAGAGAAAAAGCGCCAAACCAAACCAGACTCTCACCACGGACGAGAGCAAGGACAAAAGAAATCAGATCGCAGACAGAGGGAGGTACAAAGTGAGAGTGAAGATGGTGAAGAACTAATTAATAATATTTCACAGAAAGAAAGAGATAGAGATAGACATCGTGGAGAGGACAGGGATAGACGTCGTGAAGCAGAACATGAACAGGAGAGACCTAGTCGAAGGGGAAAAGAAAGAGAAGGTGAGAAGGAAAGGAGAAGGGGTGATGACAAACACACAAGAAGAGAGGATGATGGTAAACATAGGGAAAGAGGAAGGGAAAGGGATGGAGATCAAAGAAAACATAATAGAGAAGTAGAGGAAAAGGATAGTGATGAAGAACTAGCAACTAGGCTTAGAGAACAACTGAGGAGGGAGGATGAAAGAGAGGAAAGAAGGAGTAAGGAAAAGAGAAGAAACCGAGAGGGTAGTGATGAAGAACTAGCAAATAGGCTTAGAGAACAACTGAGGAGGGAAGATGAAAGAGAGGAAAGAAGGAATAAGGAAAAGAGGATAAACAGAGAGGATAGTGACGAAGGTAAGGAAGTCAGAAGAAAAGAAAAGGAAAGAAGCAGAGATGAAAGAAAGAAACATGGTATGGAAGAAGAGTCTGTTAAAGATGGAAGAAAGCAGGATAGAGATAGGAGAAACAAAAGGGAGGAAAAGCAAAGAGAAGATAAAGATAGAAATGAAAGAAAGCGAGAAGATAATTCAAGAGGTAGACAGGAAAGGGGAGATGATGAAGAAGAACAAGATGAAAGACATAGTAGAAGAGGAAGGAAAGATGAAAGACAGAGAATGATGAAAGAAGATCAAAGGGGAGGGAGAGGTGAGGAAAGAAGAAGAGAAAGGGATCAGGATGTATCATCAGATGATGAAAATAACAGGTCCAACAAGTCCAAAGGAAAAGAGAAGACAAAGACGAAGACGGATGATAGAAGAGGGAGGGAAGAGGACAGAATGAGAGAAAAAGATTCATCTTCAGATGAGGAAAGTACGAGAAGGTCTAGAGATAAAGGTCGCAGAGATAAAATTCCAGAGAAGAAAAGAAGTAAAAAAGATGAAGAGAGAATGGAGAGAGTTGAAGAAAGGAGGAGGGGAAGAGATGAATCTTCAGATGACGAAGATATAAGAAGGTCTGATGGCAAAGGCAACAGAGAAGTAGCAGAGAAGAAAAGAAGTAAAAATAAGAAGGAGGAGAGAAGGAGGGAAAGAGAAGTATCTTCAGATGACGAAGATATAAGAAGGTCTGATGGCAAAGGCAACAGAGAGGTAGCAGAGAGGAAAAGAAGTAAAAATGGGAAGGAGAGAAGGAGGGAAAGAAGTGTATCATCAGATGAGGAAGATACCCGTAGGTCTAAAGATAAGGGTTCCAGAGAAGAGATGCCAGAGAAGAAAAGGAATAGAATTGAGAATGAGAGGAGCGGAAGAGATGAAGATAGGAGGAGGGAAAAGGTGAGAGAAGATAGTTCAGATGACATGAGGCGATCTAAAGAACAAAGCCACAGAGATGAAAGAGAAGATGGTAAAAGGAGAGGAGAAGAAAGAAAAGATGAAAGGAGAAAGGGAAGGGAAGAAAGAAGACATGAAGATAGGCAGGACAATGATAGGTCTAGGGATGGTGATAAAAATGAAAGAAGAAAAAGGGAAGAACGGATGGAGACTGATAGTAGAAGCCGGAGTGGGAGTAGTAGAAGGCATACAGAAAGCGAGGAAAATGAAATCGATAGTAGATCAAGGCAAGGAAGAGATGAGAGAGAAGTAAGAAGACAGAGAATTGATGATAGAGGACATATTGATCGAGAAGACTTGGCAAGACACGATAGGGATAGAATAGACAAATTAGAAAGAGAGAGAGCAGATGAGAGAACAGAAAGCACAAATGATCAGAAACGTGGGGATCAAAGGAAAAAGAAGGAAGAGGTAAAAGAATCAAGCAGTGAAGAGGAGGACAGTAGTGAGGACAATTCAAGTGAGGATTCCAGTAGCGAGGAAGAGAGCGAGGTGGAAGAGAAGAAAGATGATGGTAGGAGAGAGGAAAGGAGGAAAGCTGAGAGCAATCTTGAGAGGGATGAACAGAGAAGAGCAAATGAATTAAAGACTGGTAAGACTACACAAGAAGACAGTGATGATAGTGACAGTGATGAAAGTGAGAGTGAAAGTGATGATAGTAGTGATAGTGATGATAGTGATAGCGAAGAGAGTGAGAAGGAAGAAGTATCATCTTCTCATAGGAAAGAGGAAGAGCGCAAGAGAGAGCATCCTGAGCCTGTGAAAGAGCAAAGCGAAAGTGAAGACAGCAGTGACAGTGATGACAGTGATAGTGATGATAGTGAGGAAGAGGAAGATAGTGAAAAGGAGAGTGAGAAGAGTGATGAACAGAGAGTGGTAAATAATGTGCAAAGAGACCATAGAGGAAGACCAGAACGAGATGAGAGAAAAAGGCGAGAAGAACCAAGAGAAGAGATAAGAAGCAGAGATAACAAGTCTTTCAATCCTATAGATAGAAGGAGAAATAGAGAGGATGATGGTAAAAGGAATACTAATGAACATGAAGAAAGAAGAGATAGAAGATATGAGAAGGAAGAGTACGTATCAGATAGGCATAGTAGTAGGGATAGAGAGCAAATGGATAGAAGTAGAGAGAGGGGATCTAGGGACCGGAGAGATAGGCGGTGACTTCAGAAGTAATTCTTAACTAATCATATTGATTATGGAGGCAATGATTCGCTCAGTTGTAGATAGCAGCATTGATCAAGTTTCTGTTATTTTCAGATTGATTGATATTTTGTAAATTAATTTGAAACTATATCTCAATATGTTTCCTTAAACTGTCACAATGAGTAGGGATACTGATTGTACTTTTCTGACCAGGGTAATATGTGAAAAGCGCCATGAGCGTCACCACCTGGTGGATACCGGCGCTATATAAATGCCCATATCATTATTATTATGATAAAAATATTAAAATGTATCCCTCATTCTTCAATGTCTGATTCTATCACTGTGGGAAACCCTATTGATTACACTTGTTTCAAGCTGATGTATGTTTTTGAATGGCTAACATTCTAAGGTAAAGTTACAGCCTCTATTCATCAGTATGCTTTGATAGGGTCTGTTTGGAGCCAGAAGGTTGCTAACTAATATCACCTTACACAGAGTTAATGCCCTCCTGGCTCCAAACAGATTATATTGCAATTGAAAGTTAAAGAAGACAGGAAAACTTTCTGTTATTAGCAGCAAAATTGAACATTTTCAAATGTTTGCTGACTTACTCTTGAAGTATCTAGACTTGATGAGTTCTTGTAAATTCTTTAATTACAAATCAGGGTAGTGATTGACTAACCATTTATACTGTATACCATCTCAAGTATGATTTTATCAAGTGTTTATTTCCCATTAAGGTTAGATTTCTTCTATCAGAGACTACTTGATGGTTTCATATCCTATGTTATATGTACGTGTATGCCTATGCTGCATAGTGACTGAGAAGTACAGCTCCACATGCTTTGATGAAGGTCATTGGCTGAAGGTCATTTGCTGAACAGAATGTATTACATGCTATTATGTTTGGCTCATCATTATACAGATTTTAAGAGTGAAACCTACCAAGAAGCTACAAATACTTTTTTTTTCATTATTGCAAGCTGACCAGAGGTGTATCGATCCCTCGTAGTTTAAATAGTATAATGACTTGTCCTTTTGATACGTACATAATAATGGTTGATGGTGTGGGAATGTAATGGGAGAATAAAATATGTTCTCTGTGATCCAGATAGATACAAAGCTACGGTCATCAACATGAAATCCTACCAGGGTATTGATGTGTCAAGGGTACTGCCATTTGATGGGGTTCATGTAAAGTATTATCCTGCAGTACATAATAATGATCTTTGAAACTCCTCTTCTTATCATCTTATCTTGGCTAATTGCCAGTGAGTATAATAATAGAACATACATGTACAGAATGGTGTGTATTGTTTCTGTAGAAACAGCAAAAGATTGAAATATATTTTCACATTATTCATGATTACAAGGTTTATATAGAGGTTGGAGATGTTTTGAAGTGCTAACGATGCTCAAAGCAAATGCTGCTATGCCGTGACAACAGATTTTTAGATATTTCCTTAGTTATTTCTGTGGCACAGTCCTCTTTTCAGATGCAAGATTGCATTTGATTTTACATGAAATGCACAAAACTATACTACTCTGTGTCATATAGTGCTGCATGTAAACGTATATTGGTCTCCTGGCACAGATTATTATTGGACACATCTTAACGAGAAATAGCATTGATCACCATTACCACACTCCTTTGTCTTCTCTAGATCTGTCACATATGGTCTCATTTCTAAGGGATCATGGTTTAATTTACTTTAGATATTTGATTTAGTTTCCAGTTGTAACAAGTTTATTTGGTCACTGGCGTTCATGTATTGTTTGCTTGTTTTGTTTGATCATATTGTAACTCTTTAAAACTGTTTCAGATTTCAACTTAATGCATAAGTTATATTAATGTCAGATGTGTGGGTTGTTAGGTATTATGCTCTGATACTAGGCAGAATCCTTACCAGCATTATCTTGATTTGTATACATCATGTAGATATGAATGATTCCCTTTTTGCCATTCCATGTCCACCAAATAGGACTGTTGTTATAAATGTAGATTGCAGGTTGATGATTTCTAATCTTTCAACCAATATATTTCACAAAACAAGAGACGTATGAAGCATGTTCCTGGGGAAATTTAGTTACGGAAAGCTGCTGATCATAGAAGAATAACAAAATCATGGATGTGTGTTTCCATAGTGGATTACTCTTTATGTTTGGGAAATATATTGCTTCTACCTTTATTTCATTTATATTTTGTTTTTATTATTGTATCAGATGTTTTCATTATAAACATTCTTTTGTATAGAGGAGAACATACAGCGATTAAATGTATGAGTTACAAAACACACTGCTTTCCCTTTCTCTTTTGATTTGTGGAAGAAAATTGACATATTTCCCTTCTTTAGATTTCCTTGTTTTTCGTACTGTCGGAGAATAGGTTGATGTCATGTAGATATGTGCCCAATCTAAACATGTATATACTGTCACTGTTTTGTACACAAACTTATTGTGTAAAATGCTTTGAATGAAATATTTTGAATAAAAGTTCATTCACTTATATTTCACTGTTCCAGGTTGTTACTTCTTGATTAACCAAAAAGACTGTATGTTGTACGGTGTATGTGAAGAGAATATACAGGAGCTATAAAATGATAACCTGTAAACAATAGTGAGAGAAGAAGAGACACAGAAAGAGCTAGGGAGAGAGAGAGAGAGAGAGAGAGAGAGAGAGAGAGAGAGAGAGAGAGAACTGAAGACCTGACAGTGAGAATAGACGAAAGTGGATAGATCTTTGTTTATCTTGCTCATTTATTTGTGAACTATTATCTTTCTCTTATTACATTATACCATAATTATGTACAGAAAGAAATTAAACACATTTTAATTTAAAGGTGCAAAAATAATTTTTTATAAACAACTTTATTTACAACTGAGTTATCATTAAACCAAACGAAAGAAGACAAGAAAAAAGAAACTTATTCTCATAGAAAATTACGATAAAGAGTATGTGAAAAACTAATCTCGAACAAACTTTTACCACGTCTTATTCGAACCAATGTTTAAATAACCTCTGACGAAATTGTCCAGACATATTATATATAATGCACTTAACAAAAAAAAACATTTAATACGTTTCATGCTTAGAATCGTACAAGTAGTATTTTACATGGGTAAGCTAACGAAATAGATTATATATATACCCTATACATTCTCTCTCTCTCTCTCTCTCTTCTTTCAAGTCGAAGAATACAAAATACTTTGTTTCGTGAACATCATATAAAATTATATAGTCGGCGAAATTTATCATTAAACGAGAAGAAAGGGACAAGAAATATCAAATGAAAAACAGAGTATTTATTTTATAAGGTAAAGAGGATATACATGAGAGGTAGATGAAATAGAAGTGAAAGCGTAAGACTTTAGATGAAGATATATATATATATTTCCTTAATATTACTATGAAAATTAAGTTTGGTTCCCTGATCAGCAGACGATATATTGCTTTCATCATGCCTGATCGAATCATCTTGTGATGAAGTTATGTGATGAACTGATTATCTTAACTACAGTTACACAGTTTTTGACTGATTTGTTGAATTGCTAAATTCTCGTCTTAGTCTTCGATTTCTGCAGCAGTATTATCTTCGCCAGACATCTCGAGTTCAGTTGCTTTCTCTACCATTTTCTCCTTTTCTTTCGTCGCCGCCTTCAGAGCTCTCTGTACTTCTTTTGCTTTCCTCTTCATTTTCACCGTCTCTCTTTTCTCACTATCAATTATACCAATCCCTGATCCTAGCACCCGAAGAACTTTTCCCTGTGATGTTTCGATACCGGTTCCAAGTACCTCAAACTCAACTCCATCTTGGTTCCAAGTCGCCTTCGTATCCAAGGCGAGACCGAGTGAGCAGGCGAGCCAACCAAGAATACAATTCGCGCTGCAGAGCTCCATTGTGCAGTCGCTTACGAGTTGTAATCCATCTTCGCATCCACACGACAGCTCGCAACCAACGTTAGGGTACCTGCATTCAAGGTCAGTAAACCCGTTACATAGCTCCTTTGATGCTGACCCCATCCCTGCTGACGCTGATAGACATGCTCCTGGTACGATCGCCAGTTCGTAGTCGAGCTTTGAACTACCTTCGACGTCAACATCAATGTCGTTTACAGCTGTGCTGTGAATCGTATCTTGTTCGCCTTCTTTAGAATCGCTGGTGGGCATAGGAGACGGAGCCTTGATTGAAGACTTTGGCTGATTTGTGATGACATTTGTTGAATTCTATGAAAGAAGAAAAGAAATTCAGAAATAAGCCGATACCATGATTTACATAGTTCGTGAAGCTCGCCTTTTAAAGCCATTATTTTCTTTCATCATTCTAACGTTTTTCATTTCAGATAGATTTGAAAGAATGTTGCCCTTTCAAGCCACTGGTACTCAGCGCTGATGAACGTCATGATAATTTTTTAGTTTCTTATTACGTTACAAGATCATCAACAAAAGTTTATGGCAATGAAATACTCAAGAATATGGCTCCAATCCTCTCCCATTCTAGATCGATCATTTATGCCATTCACACATGACATTGCTAATTCTTATGACATGATGTCGAGAAGTAATACGTCATGAGGCAAATATAACGCTCCCTTTTCGGTAGATGCTCATGTAAAAAGGATTACGTATCGACCGTCATAATTTATAATAGTTATTTTTGTTGTTGAAGAAGAAAGACGAGCTATTCTATATAATATTATACGCCATTTCTAGAGTTTATTTTTATTTTACGCACCTGTGAAGAACCATCGTCTGAGCTGGTATTTTGTTGCTTGGAACTTTGTTCGATTTCCGTTTCTTTTGCCTGATCATCAGCGTGATTGCCGGCTTTGTCATCGGCCAAATCATCAACCCGGATATTGTCGTCATCATGGCATTCTTTCTTGGCGTGGCCTTCGTCTTGGCCATCCGTCTGCTCATCGCCCTGGACATCGCCCTGGACTTCGTCCTGGTCGTCCCCCTCGTCATTGACATAGTCATTGGCTTGCTCATTGCACCCCTCATCGACTGTCCCAGATTTCATGACTTCGTCAACAGCAGTCTCCATTCTCACGTAAGATATCCGTCGATTGTTGAAAACCAATGCACAGCGTTTCAGACTGAAAGGACAATCATCAGCTTACCAGTCGATAAAATAAATCTGACAACCCGATCAAACCTAGCTATTTATATTCTTCATCTATATATTTTTTTCATTCTTGTTTCTTGTCTTCATAATCTTCCCCAATAACAAATCACAAGAAGGCCGATCTTTCCCAAAACACCGTCATTATCTTACTATAGCTTATCAAAACTCAGCTGAATGGAATGATCAAACTATTTGTTCCTTAAGGGTATGTAAATAGAATTGTTATCTTTAATATTCCTGTCAGTACTGTGAGGTCGCATGGTAAGATCAGGAACATGTAAGATATAGGGGTTAATTGGCCAGGCATCCCTTATCAAGTATTGTTTATGAGGCAACTTCATAATCAAGATCCGGTTATATATGGTGTCAAGAGGTATAATCAGTGAGTAAGAAGATTTGGAGACACCAAATCATGGAAATATTGGTATTCTTTCTTCGCCGGGGCTTCCCCCTTGCATCTAGAAACCTAATATAGAATAATCAAGTGGATATATTAAATAGTTCATAATGTTTAATTCAAAGAGGAATAAAAATGAGTAGGGTCGAGTTAGTGAAAATATGAATACATGTCAACTTCGAAAAAAAAAAGCTATTTCAATTTAAGGTTATAATTATCATAGATTTTCAATGAATATACCTTTTTTTTAATATGTATGTATTTATCCATATATAAATGATAGGCATCTGTTCATTTGGTTCTTATGCCCGACTAAGCCAAGATTTTTTTTTTTTTAATTCAAAATTATAAACGCTGCAGGTGCCAATAATTATGTTCATGATAACGCGTTTACGCGCTGCCGTATCGATTACAAATTATTGCGTCACAATAGTTTACAAGAGCGCGATGACTGCGCAGCAATCATTGCTATGATGCTCATTGAAATGATTATGAAATCTTAATGACAACAATAAGAGATCCATACCCTGGAGCGTAACAATTAAAAATTAAACAAATATTTCTTGTGAATATCAATGGTGCGATCAATTTAAGAGGCAAAGATGAAATTTTTACTACAATTCAACCTTATTATTTTATTATCGTTTGAAGCAGGACTAGCAACTATGGAAACCAAAAGGAGTTCGAGGGCAAGTTTGATTGTTAATGAATCTTTATTTGATCCTGTTTTGAACTTATTACTAAAGAAATGCACAGCTTGCAGGGGTGGGAAGTGGACCCCCCCCCCTTTTTATTACAAAATCCACAATTCGTATTAGTTTCCAGATAGAACCTTTTTTTAGTTCAGTTGCAAATACATGTTGTTGTTTTGTTGTTGTTGCTGCTTTTAGTGAGCAGGGTGTTTAGTGAGTGAATACATTCCCATATTTCTTGGCACATCCACTATATATATAGAAATTTAAATTCTTATGATAAACATTATCTGTGTCTTATAGGTCTACTTTAACATTCTTTCTTTATCTTATCTTAGAAAAGGGTAATCCGAGTTCGTATTTTTAATCTTGTTTATGTTTAATAATAATAATAATAAAAACGTTACTTATAAAGCGCTTACCACCGAAGTCTCTAAGCGCTATACACACAAAATAGACTGATATACAATTACATCTTATACAAAACTAAAAATGCAAATAAACCTACAAATAACAATACATATGGAATACACATCAAAGTGAACAGAGATAATTAATCATCGAACGCAATTTTGAATAAATGTGTCTTGAGACTAGTTTTGAATAGGTTAACGGTTTGACAGTTTTTTACATTTAAAGGTAATTTGTTCCAAAGTTCAGCAGAAGCTTTGCGAAAGGAGCGATTACCATAAGAGAGAGTTGACACAGAAGTAGATACGAGGTTTAATTGTGAAGATGACCGTAAATTGCGTGAGGGTTTGTATTCCTCGATTAATTCTTGCAGATAAATTGGTGCCAATTCATGAATGCATTTATAAGTTAAAACTAAGATTTTGTACATAATGCGGTACGTCACCGGCAACCAATGCAATTCGCGAAGTACTGGGGTGATGTGTTCACAAGAACGTGTGCGTGTTACAAGCCTGGCAGCAGAGTTTTGGATTCTCTGGAGTTTTGCAATGTGCGACTCCGGATGTTTGCCTTGGATCTTGCAACCACTGATTAAATGGGGGCTTTTTGCATGCATTAGACGGATACCATTGTTAAAGAGCATGGGTTTTCCCCTCATAATGACCCAAGGAATGATGAAATGACAGGTTTTATGAAATGTGTACATTGTAATTTTTCAGAATTAGTTTTAGTCTACAAATTACTTGGTCGCAATCACTGAAGTTATCTTAAAGAACTTTGGGAAAAATATTATCTCGCAATTTAATTATGTGAGGTTGATATGCAGTGACCTGTCCAGATACTGATTGATCCTAGCTGGAATAATGAAGGTAGCCCTGCGTCCCAACAGGGGCATTTCCCCATGAACAGAGTCATAAACTCATATTACTTCAACCAGTTCTACCACTCGTACGTACCCCTGCGACACTAGGCATATTAACATCACTCTTAGACCAAGCATTGAACCTAGACCTAAGTTTAACTCTAAATTCAACCTAAATCCCAATTGCAACCCTAATATTAATCCTATACATTTAATGAAATAAAGCCCAGACCAAGGCAAGGTAAAATTATGAAGTAGGTGTCGGATGATCACATTATCCATTTTCCAACATTATGTGATACCCGAAGTAACTCAAATTATATTTTCACTAGAAAGATTTTTCCATACACATGCATTGGCCTACAAACGGACTATGGGTGTGCCCCCCCCCCCCCCCCTCCGCCATTAATTACGTGTTAATTTAGATGAACATAATATGAAATAGAAGTTAATAAAAACGGATTTGTTACTCCCGTAGTTCTATTACTAATCTCATATATTTTTGTTCTTTGTACGGTTCAGAGGGGTTTTAAACTTTCGAAAGAAGACCTTCAACTCTACACCAGCAATCACCACTCCATCGAAGGTAAGCTGGGACCTGTATGATAGGGGGAGCCTCATCTATTTTCATTATTGGAGGCGGATGACATTGATTGGGAAAACATGTATAGTCGAAATCGGGGTAAACAGCCCGACTGGACCTTAAAATAAATTCACTCTCATTATCACGATGAAAACTCTCATTCATTGAATTCGATCAAATACAAAGTATACAAAAAGCTATCATCATCACTATCATCACCATCACCATCATCATGACTAATAAGAAATGAGTCGATGTCTGTTGTAACCATCAACATATTGGTACATGTATGTCAACATACCCTACCAATATAAACGACAATGCGCCATGGACTTGGGATAAATATTTAGTTTCTTTCTCTTTTAATGTTGTTGCCGCTATTATTTCGAATAAAAGTGATTCTTATCTGAAAATACTGAATGACTGGAGGCATAATTTTATGATGACTTTTTCGTTACACAATAAAAATGAAAGTGACATAAGAACTGTCCTGATGCGCCATAAGTGGATCCTTCAAAACCACACCCTTGTCTTCTGAATAGAATAGAGTAAAATATACATATTGAAAGAAATATTTCAATCTTGTAAAAGATATGTTATTATGATATTTCCTTAACAGATTATGATTTCACAGCACCGGTATATGTCGACCCAAAACCAATCGTCAACAAACGAAGCGTAGACTCAGAACTAGTCACACCACGAGAGCGTGAGGTGAAATTCAACGCGTTTGGTCAACAATACCACGCCCGTCTCCAACCAAACCCCTGGTTACTAAGGCAAGGATTGATTGTGGAACGCGTTGGTTCAGACGGTACGATAACAGAAGAGGAGATTTCTGATCGGGACTGCTATTACTTTGCCCATCTTATATCTCATATGGGTGAATCTGCTGGAGCTCTGAGTACATGTAACGGACTGGTAAGACCATTACAGTCACAAACGAAAATAATGCACAAATATTTTTCAAAATTAATACTTTTTTAAATAATAATAATAATAACTTTTACTTATATAGCGCTTTTCATAAAACATTTATATCAAAGCGCTTTACAATATTGATACAATTAAAACTTAACAGAGTAATGACAAGAAAACAAATGAATGAAAGTGAAATTATGAAACATAAGATAACAAGGTAATCATCATTTTGGCATAATGCACACAAAACTATTCAGATCCCTAATGTTTAAAAATCATATCCTCGGATCGGTATTCCATCAATAAATGCTCCGGATTTTATTCCGTCAAAAGTATTTGGTTAGAACTCAGGTTGCAATTAGGTATGGTTCAAGGATAAGGTTGGGTTTACTGTTAGGTCCAAGATTGAAGATAGGAATTTGGTTAGTTATGATGATGATAATTAATGTAATTTATATAGCACCAAATCCATTCTGTGGAGTGCTCAAGGTGCATTTAGGAATAATTAAGAATTAAACACAAGCGTTTGTACATGATTTTAAAGGAAACTGATCTCATACAAATTATCTAAAGAGCATATATCGTACCTCTGTTATTATGTATAATATTCCAGTTGTTATACATTTGTGTTATAATGTTGGCATTGGCCATGTTCTTTGTAAATGACTGAGATAACAAGGAAATTCGATAACCAACAATCTAGTTTTACACCGGAATCTCTGTCGAATGCCTCCAATGAATTGCTTATATCTCATTCGATTTTATTATCGTACCTATATTACTTCTTCGTAGAACACCCTTATGGCCTAATCTATATGCCATTGTAGGCAATAAAAACTCAAACTTGAATCCATTTCTGAACAAATATTTATACTTTTCTTGACAGCGTGGTCTAATAAGCCATGATGATACAGATGTGTACATTACTCCATTAAAAGACCATCATGACTCTCGATACCGTCGCGAGACTCAAGACGAGTTTAATGGCGAGAAGGCTCATATTGTTTACAAACGAACATCGCGTAGAAGTCGACAAACTTCTTATAACTCGTCGTCTGTTTCATCCTCTTATGTGCACGATGACGCCGGCGACGATTATGATGACGGCAGTGACGGCAAAGATATATATTACACCTATAATGAAACCAGTGATTTTGACGGGAACGATACTTCCAGTAATGATACATTTTGCGAGGAAGTATACGGTAAGTTACATGAGCCATGGAGTCGTTTTGATTTATTGAGATTACTGAAGATCACAATATTACTAATGTAAAGTATCAATTTCATGAATATGTCTTCAAGCTATTATTTTAACCAACAATATAAGTAAACTATTCGTCTTTTAAAAAAACTATTTATTCTTCTTTTAAAAAATCTTTTTATTCTTCTTGACGGTCGTTTCTGTAAAACAGCACCAAAATACAACGAAGAACCAGATCTACGGGACCAAGGTTCCTGGGAAGGGGGTAATGTGTCGCGGGACCAAGGTTCCTGGGAAGGGGGTAATGTGTCGCACCCCGGGCCAATCTTTGCTGATAAGATGGCCGCTGGTCAGGAAGAAGGGGAACATTTACAAGAAGGGGGTCAGAGATACCTCGAGGTGTTCGTCGTTATTGATGATGAGATGGTGAGAGTACATCAAGAAGATGTCATGAACTACGCACTCGCTATAATGAATATGGTAAGTTAAAGGTCCGCCAGCACCCCCACCCTCTCTCTCTCTCTCTCTCTCTATGTCTCTCTATGTCTCTCTCTCTCTCTCTCTCTCTCTCCCTCTCCCTCCTTCCCGTTCCTTCTCTCTTTCTTCTTTCTCTTCTCTCTTCTAAAGCTAGGGTAATAAAGACCAAAGCTTTTTTGTAAGCGCATAGAGATGTTATTTCATAACGTATTATGCGCTATACAAGAACTGAATTATTATTATTACTATTATTATTATTATTCTCTCTTTTCTCTTTCTTGTTTCCCTTCTCTCTTCTCTCCCTCTCTCTCCACTCCTTTCTATTTATATTATGCCTTTTCCCCTTTCTCTCTCCTCTCTCCCTTTTTTTTTATCTTCCAACCTTCTTTATCTACACCGTCATCACTATTAAACCTATCCCTTTAAATATTTCGTCTTATCCCAGGTTTCACGAAGATACATTGACCCTACATTGAAATCTGAGATACGGATGGCTCTTGTGAAGATAGTAGTATCTGAAACCCAGGACTTGACGGTAAGGTCGTAATAATAATAATAATAATGATATTAATAATAATGATGATAATGATAATAATAAAAATAATAACAATAATAACAATAATAATAATGATGATAATAATAATGATGATAATAATAATGATGATAATAATAATGATGATAATAATAATAATAATAAAAATAATGATGATACAAAATGATAATGATAATAATAATGATGATAATAATAATGATGATAATAATAATGATGATAATAATAATAATAATAAGAATAAAAATAATGATGATACAAAATGATAATGATAATAATAATGAAAAAGATGATAATAATAATAAAAATAATGCTAATAACAGTAATAATATTGATGATGATGATGATGATGATGATGATGATGACACAAAATGGCGCTTGATAGCACTAATGCTTTTTGTTATAGAATATAATACAGAATAGATAGAAAGTTGAACGTTAGAGAGAGTGAGCAGTTACAAATATCTGGGACAAACTTTGAAAATGGAAGACACCACAAAAGAAGAAGTTATAATGAGAGTAAAAGCAGGACGGGTGAACTTTGGAAGATACAAAGACATGTTGACCGATAAAACAATACCCATGTCACTAAGAAGAAGAATGTTCAACCAATGCATTCTAACAACTATGACATATGGATAAAAAACATGGTCATTGACAAAGGATCTAGAACAGAAGCTACTCAACGAGCTATGGAGAGAAAGATGACACATCTATCTCTGCGAGACAAAATCAATCACAAAGTCATACGCCAGAAAACAAAGGTTAAAGACATCATGGAGAAAGCCAGAGAATCAAAGTGGAGATGGGCTGGGCATGTAGCAAGACTTCAGGACAATAGATGGACAAATCGTTTAACACACTGGCAACCAAGGATGAGAAAGAGAAGAAGAGGAAGGCAGAAGAGAAGATAGGGAGATAACCTAACATCATACATGGGAACGGCTGTATGGACTAGGACAGCTAAAGACAGAAGAGAATGGAAATGTTATGAGAGGGCTTTGTCCAACGTCTGGATGAACTATATAGCCTGATAGATAGATAGTGATAACAATGTTTTTATTTCATAGATTCATTTGAAAATGTTTATGTAAAATCCACTATATGACATTATTATTAGTTGTAGTAGTAGTAGTAGTAGTAGTAGTAGTAGTAGTAGTAGTAGTAGTAGAAGTAGTTTAATTATTATTATTTTTCACATAGATGACTGGCCAAGATGGTAGCAACCATACTCTGACTTTTCATGCTAGTGGAGAGACACTTGTCAATGAACTCTGCAGTTGGCAGGCTGCTATGAATCCTTCAAGTGACGATGATCCTCTTCATTTTGATAATACCATACTTATGACAAGGTAGGTAGCCCTAGGTCATCGTCATTTATTTTAGTGCATCAATGCTCCTGCACAATGCGACCTTTCTACCACTGGATTTTGTATTTTTGTTAATGCAACATGATCAGATTTTGGGATAATATGTCATATAGTTCACCCAATTATGGATAAAAGGCCGAGTCGATCGCTGTTGGTATATAGGAAGTTGTGGCGTTACAAAAATTCGGCAGTCGTGACGTCACTACAATTCAAATCTGAATGGTTATTTACTCCAACGAAAAGCTCTGTATAGAGTACCGAAGTGTGAAGTCATACTGACCAAGTCGTCAAGGTTGCTGATTCCAAATAATTTTGTGCTAAAGAAAATGGCGTTGAGATCACACCGGCGCCACACACTGAATTTGCCCTGCTCTAGCTCTCGCCCAATGCTTGAATGATTTCGCAGTGAACCTCATGCAATGAGCATGCTCTATTGTTTGGAACCAGTAATCTGCATGGGGGTAGGAGCGAATATGACTTTAGGACTGTGGTACTTTATACCCCCACAACTTGGATAACACTATAACCGACTGTAATAGTTTCGTTTGATGTCGGTCCAGTGGGCAGTAACTTTTCTTAAACGGTATTGTTTGCAATGGTATTTTAATGTGTCAATGTTTGCTTTCCAAAGATAAAATACGAATTTAACATGGATAATTTCTTGATTTTCCATTTAATATCGCTATCAATCCTGCAATGAATGTCCAAATAATATCCAACAAACTAACAATGCATGACTTACTCTCCTATTAACAACTAAAACAAAAAATAGAATCAGACATACCCCTATGCGTTGCAAATTTTATTTTCAATCAATTCCTCAATGAAGCACTACTTATTTATTATCCCTTGAAGTATGTAACTGATCAACATATCAAGGTTTCTCAATAGCTAAAGTGATTGTTTGATACTGTATAAATTGATTATAATATATAAAAAAAATTACAGGAGAGATTTGTACTTAGGGTCGGGGCCAATAAGATGATGGGACTCTTAGGAAGGGCAGCGATGGGGACAGTTTGTAGCAGCACAATGTCTTGTGGTATCAATGAAGAAGATGGTTTGGAAGCAGCACTAACCATCGCTCATGAACTTGGTCATAAGTAAGATCTTACAATTATTACATGAATTCTGTTTATAAACGTTGTTGTAAATAGCTGTTATTTTATGAAATGAACAAATAAAGTCCCTCGAAAGAAGATAAATGGAAGAAAAAAATAAGTAAGATTTTATTCCGCATTTCGTATGCTCCTCCGAATCGTCATCAGCCTTTTGCCATTGTTTCTTTTCATTTCGCAAATTCGTTAATGTTATTTTCATTTGTGAGTACGGTAAATGTGCTGTTATTAAAATAATACAAAATCTGTTTGGATCCGGAAGGATATTAATTCTGCAGTGAAAAATATCAGATGACCAGACAGATTTTAAATTAGAAAAATAATGTCATGAAGAGAAATAAATAAATCAAATCAGATCAATAGAATAACTTGTAACTAACAATTATGATAGCTCCGTTTCATTCTGTAAGCGAAAGAGTTTAGGCCCAAGATGATACCAGGGGTGGTATTCTGAACATGAAGTGGTCGGTACACCATGTTGAACTCTTGGACGTCGGACCAACTTGCCGAAAAGTTACCTGAAAAAATGTCAACTAACAAGAAAATGTCACTTCAGATTTTCAAGTTAAAGATAAATCTGGTCATGATATTTTCAAATTTGCCGACAGACATTATTTTTCTTCTTTGATTAAAAAATATATATATATCAACGGGGTGTCCTCCCCCTCCCCTCCCCTCACCCTCCCCTCCCCTCCCCCACTATTGACGCCCCTATACGCATATAAGTAGATTAAACCCAGATTTCTTCTCATCTCGCTACAGTTTGAATCTGAACCACGATCCAGCCTATGGTTGTGAAAATGGTAGAAACATCATGTCATCCACTAAGTCAATAGGAGCTAACAACTTCAAATGGTCCAGTTGCAGTTCAAAACACTTAGCAGAATTCCTCAAGTAAGTTCTGTATACCTATAACACTCAAATATTTGTCTTCTACCCATTCAATTAAACCCGATGCTATGACTAGGTTTCGTCAAACGAAAGGGAAATGTATAGACCGTGATCTAACTGCATGAGATACGATGACACTCGCATGTCACTCCACTTAAGACCAAGCTTATTTCCAGCTTCGGGTTTGAATTCCATGGTAAAGCAAAAATGATTAATTGAGCAAGTAAAGCAAGAGTGATTAATTGGTTATCATGTGTGTGTGTTTTTCTGGTAGGACTTCATTAGCACATGATTAATTGGATTCCATTGCACCTGTAAATAATTGTTTACTTTATACACAGCATTGTTGATTGCATAAGCCATATTGTGAGCCATGTCGGTATTTAGCATTTCGATGAATAGGCCTATTGATAGTTGAGCTTTTTCTCTGTACCATCATCATGGTCTCACGAATGGTCCCATCGGGTCCATAAAAATATATCAAAAATACTGACATGTATCGATATTTATAATAAGTATTTTTTATAATACACTATATATGACAAATAGCGAATTACAGCTCATCTTCAATTAAGTACGACATTTCACAAGAATATAGTACCAGCAAAAGGCATGAATGTTAAGAGCTTAGCATGATTAGGGCTAGGCCGGGTTGTGATTGGGTTTAGGTTAGGCTTTGGGTTTGGTATTATGAATAGTTTTGTGTCCATGGCTCTCTCCTATGTTTTTCTTTTCTTTATCGCCTTGCATGGGGCATGTGCCCATGTTCCCTTCTGCTTGTATCTAAGCAACCTCACAATGAAATGTCGATTTTTGTTTCTTCTTCTTCTCTAGGTCACCTGACACAGACTGTCTTCTTGATAGGCCATCACTGGATCACCCGGATGTTGATTTGATACCGATAGACCAGTTAGCCGGTGCGCAGTATGGTCGCGTGGAGCAATGTAAGAAGGTGTTTGGGGCTGATCTTGTCATTGGAATATGCCCATTTGAACGAGCACATGTTGTAAGTACGAATGTGCGCATTCTGTGTGTGATTTCGGCAGTATAATTATATTCAGAACAAAACAAAAAATAATAATAACAATAATAACATGACAACAACAACTAAAGAATAAACAAAATTGGTTACATGTGCATTGAAGTTGAGAAATCAAAACTTTTACTTTACTTATAATAGCTACCATGGGTGTCGATCCCTGGGGGGGGGGGGGGGGGGGATGGGTGGATATATCCCCCCCCCCCCCAATATTTCAGGTGGGGGGGATGGCCTGTACAATCATCCCCCCCCCCAATAATTCATCATCAAAAGAAAAAATAATAATTATGAGAGCCCGATGAGAGTAGTTAATGGTTATTACTCGCAAGATGACCATCAATATACACTTTTTGGTATCTCATTTTCATAATACAAACACATATAAATAGAAAACGAGAAATAGAAATAGAAATAGAAAACAATAAATTGAATTCTCGCTCATACGGCTTCATCAGGAATTGATGAATTTATTCAACATCATCATATAAATGCAGTGCGCCAAATGCAAAGCCGCAGCGTTAAAAAGCAACGAGCTTAGTAAATGTTAAGCGCGAAGTGCAAAAGTGCAAAAAAGAAGAAGAGAGTGGGAGACTGGGCGCGTAGCCAGGTAGTGGTGGGGGTGGTCGCCCCCCCCCCCCCAAAAAAAAAAAGAGAGAGAAAGAAGAAAGGAAGAGGACTTAGGAAGAAAAAGGATTTAGAGTCGAGAACGGTACAACGAATCGTCTTCCTTTCTCTAATAATTTAATGAAACGTCAAAGCTTCCGCGCTTCGCGCGAAAAAAAAGGGAGGGGACTGAATTCAGCAAGGATTAAGAGTCGAGAATGGTACAACGAATCTTCTTCTTTCTCTAATAATTTAATGAAACATCAAAGCTTCCGCGCGGGAAGAGGGGAACTGAATTCAGACAAGGATTAAGAGTCGAGAATGGAACAACGAATCGTCTTCTTTCTCTCATAATTTAATGAAACGTCAAAGCTTCCGCGCTTCGCGCGGGAAGGGGGGGGGGGGAACTGAATTCAGCAAGGATTAAGAGTCGAGAATGGTACAACGTAACGTCTTCTTTCTCTAATAATTTAATGAAACATCAAAGCTTCCGCGCTTCGCGCGGGAAGGGGGGGGGGGGAACTGAATTCAGACAAGGATTAAGAGTCGAGAATGGTACAACGAATCGTCTTCTTTCTCTCATAATTTAATGAAACGTCAAAGGTTCCGCGCTTCGCGCGGTAAGGGGGGGAGGGGGGACTGAATTCAGACAATAATTAAGAGTCGAGAATGGTACAACGAATCGTCTTCTTTCTCTCATAATTTAATGAAACGTCAAAGCTTCCACGCTTCGCGTGGTAAGGGGGGAACTGAATTCAGACAAGGATTAAGAGTCGAGAATGGTACAACGAATCGTTTTCTTTCTTTAATAATTTAATGAAACGTCAGAGCTTCCCCCTCCCTGCACCCACCCCCTAGGAGGTGCTCACTACCGCCCCCTAAAATAAAATCCTGCCTAAATTCTTGAGAGGATAATAACCCAGGTAGCAAGCGCATGTGGGACCCACATGGGTCCCATATTCTCTAAAATGTTATCTTTATTGAGGGTGACTTGAAAAAGTTAAAAACTTGGAAGGGAGGGGGTGCAACCTGCCATACGTCCTACCTCTTGGTTGCTTTGATCCATTGCCAAAAATATTTTGGTACCTATCATCCCCCCAACTGAGGATACAAATCGACACCCTTGAGAGCTACGATATAAGGAATGGTAAAATACTTATAATGGAAATGATTAAGGTATAGAATAATAAATTATTCATTTTAAAAAATGACTTTAATTTGTTAATGAGTAAAACCTTACGGCATGCTGCAGCTTTCAAAACTTCAATTCCGTGCTTTTCTCATTAAAAAAATGAGTCAAAATGTATCTAGCTAATCATCAAGTAGAATGTGACGAACATCTTGAAGACCAAAGTACAGATCAATGGGAAGTAAGGACATGGTAGCACAAGTATTATCTTATGATGAATTATACGTTGCAATCGAAATAAATATTTCTTTTGACAGACTTGTGGACAGGTCCCGTGTCGAATAGGTAGTTATTGTCATTACACGCCTGTCGTAGAGGGCACACCCTGCGGAACGAACATGGTAAGATGGATTGATTTCCTTCCATTTACAGAATATTACATTGTAAATTGACTTATGACATATATGTTTCCAAATAGAATATTGATTTGTTACATTACATTGTAAAGTGATTATATGTTAATAAACAGAATATTGATGTACATCAATGAAGTTTAATAAATACAATACAAGTACATTACGTATCTTTGAAGTCCTCTCCCATTTTCTCTTTTCTAAAACAAATTATGAATTTCCATTTCCTTAAAAATGATGCAACCCAAATTTATTTTACTGCACTTACGTATTTATACAACCCCTGAGACCTAATACGTCATCAGCCATTAATCGGGTCGATAGATTTGCCAATTTGCGATTGACCGATTACACCATTAACATTTCATAATTTTCTTATCCTCAAATTTTCACTGATCTGCTATATATTTTGTTCTGATTTTGTTAACTTATATTAATAGATTTCCCATTATGTTGCAATTCCATTTGTTTACGTCACTATTTTTTGCAGTGGTGTTATGACGGATTTTGTCGTTCATCTATCGGAGGAGTCCCCAAGCCTGTAGACGGTAATTGGGGTGAATGGCCGGTAAACTACACGCAGTGTTCTCGTACGTGTGGTTCGGGGGTGATGTCCAGACGACGAAGGTGTAATAGACCTGGACCACGTTTTGGCGGGAAAGCTTGTGAAGGAACTATGTACAGCATGAAGACGTGTAACACGGAAGTACGATATTGAGTCATCTCTCATCAAAATATTATCATGATGTCTCTTCTAATGATAACTCTCACCTCTTTTCGTATTTTTAGCACAATGTGGCATAATTTGTTCTGTATTTTTCGAGATTTAAGCGAAATGAATATATTCTTAAATAATATAGCGCCTAATACATTAACAATGTCTCTAAGCACAGATGTCACATATACTTATTACTTCAGTAATCGAATTTCAACTTGCCCACACGCAAAGTATGCACATTCTTCCTGTGGAGCATTCCAGCCAGGCGCCATTAAATGCTCCCAACGTTGAACAAAACACGATGAATGTCCTATCCTACTGGATACCTATTTAAACACTGAAAGGAAAGAACGAGTAGAAATGTTATCTAGGATTTTCACAACATGAGGAAGCTTGATTCAGAATAAGTTAAATTACATAATATGAGGAGACAACCCGTGGTTTTTTTTATATATCCTTTATAAATGACAGAAATGCACATTCTTACCTGACATTATGTTTCGAGGTGAATCGTCATAATATGAGTCTTGTTCTCTTCACAGCCCTGCCCAGGCATCAACTCTCCAGATGATTTCCGACATCGCGAGTGCGCCCTCACCAACACCATCATTCTTAAAACTAGATATCATGAATGGTCAGCTTACCTTGACGGCACTCTATACGGTAATAATTTTCTGCCTTTTTAAAAATCTCAACTAGATTTAATTTCTTAAGAAAAGAGGACATTATGCTAAGGCTCATCAATAAAGCAATGTATAGTTTTTATTGTTTTTAAGAGTGTACGTTTGTTAAAAAACGGGACATATTAAGACCATGCTCACTCCTGTCCAAACATCATGTTTAGCTTAACATTACGATGTTACCATGGTTACGGCGGAATCTAGTTTGTTACTAAAAGGGCCTTTGGTCTTTTTCGGGGTTTACATTTAATTCATTGGGGGTAGAAAGCTGCATGACATCTATTTTCTGCCCCCCCCCCCCTCTCTCTCTTTCTCTCACTCTTTCTCTTCCTCTTTGTTCGTTTTCGTTCCTATTGAGCTTATCTCAATAATGTTTTGTTTTGTTTGTTTGCTTGTTTGTATTGATATCAGAACTTTGACTTCGATAAATAAATTTGAATTTTGCTCCTTATTTCTGTTGTTAAGGTTAAAATTCCTGTCGGCGAAGGCCAGGTCAAGTGCAATCATTTTGTTTAAGTTGTTATGATAACTTCTTTCACTATCATTGTCCTTCCTTTTAATAGGCAATGAGCTATGTGCTTTGAAGTGCAAATCGAATCGGGGCAACATTTTACTCCGAGATCCTAACAAAGTATCAGATGGGACACGTTGTTGGGATAAACGAGAACCAGATGAGCTTAGACGAACCCGAAGATGCTTCAAAGGAGAGTGCAGAGTGAGAATAATATGCTTGTTGCACACGTTGTGTCAATAGCTACTATT